TTCCTAGGAAAGGATAACAGGTGCACTGCAAACTTATCAGCCTGAACTGAGAGAAGAGGCTTCAGATGAAGAGAAGCCAGTAAACAAAAATCTGGCAACAAGGTAGTCTGGCAACAAGGTAGTCAATACCACTAAAGGATCACAATAGATTCACAGCAATGGACCCGAAGCAAAGGAAATTGTCAAAATGTCAGAAATGGAATTCAGAATATGGATAGCAAACAAAATGAATGGGATTGAAGAGAAAATTAGAAAGCAACACAAAGAAGCCCCAAAAAAATATTTCAGGACATAAATGAAAAAAGTGAACAACTCACTAAAGATATACACAACATAAGAAAGGATATAACAGAACTTAAAGAAATGAAAGAGACATTTAGGGAATTTAGACGAATATAGCAGAAGGCTTCAACAACAGGCTACACCTAGTAGAATAAACAATCTCAGAGCCTGAAGACAAGGCTTCTGAACTAACACAGTTAAAGATGCAGAAAAAAGAATAAACAAGAATGAACAATCACCCAGAGAAATATTGGGCTATCTGAAATGAGCCAATAAATGAATTATAGGTATCCCAGAGGGAGAAGAAGAAAATAAAAAAACATGGACAACCCATTCAAAAGAATTATTGAGGAGAACTTTCCCAGTATTGCTAGAGATTCAGATATACAGATACAAGATGGCCATCAACACCAAGAAGATTCATAGCAAACAGGACATCTCAAATACATATACTCATCAACCTGGCCAAAGTAAACAAAGGAGAAAACTCTACAAGCTGCAAGATGAAAGCAACAACTAACCTACAAAGGAAAATCCATAAGGCCAACAGCAGACTTCTCACCAGAGACCTTACAAGCCACAAGGTATTGGGACACCATTTTTAATCTTCTTAAACAGAACAACTGTCAGCCAAGAATTCTGTAAAACTAAATTTCTGTAAAACTAAACTTCATAAATGATGGAACAATAAAGACTTTTCCACATGAGCAAACACTAAGGAAATCTGTCACCACTAGGCCTGCCCTATAGGAAATGCTAAAAAGTGTATTATACATGCAACAGCACAATAGATATCTGCCAGCACAAAAAAACGCCCAAAAGTTATAGCTCACAGCTATAACCCAAGGGTCAATGATGAAACTAGGATGGAAATCAAAAGATTTCTTGAACTAAATGACAAAAGGGACACAAGCTATCAAAAATCTATGGGAATAGGCTGGGCACAGTGGCTCACACCTGTAATCCTAGCACTCTGGGAGGCCAAGGTGGGAGGATTTCTTGAGCTCCAGCAATCTGGAGTTTGAGAACAGCCTGAGCAAAAGCAAGATCCTATCTCTACCAAAAATAGAAAAAAATAGCCAGGTGTCATGGCACTTGCCTGGAGTCCCAGATACTCAGGTGGCAGGAGGATTGCTTGAGCCCAGAAGTTTGAGGTTGCAGTGAGCTATGATGAGGCCACTGCACTCTAGAAGGACAGCAATGCAAGACTCTGTCTCAAAAAAACAAAAAAACCTATGGGATACAGGAAAAGTAGTAATAAAGGGAAAGTTCATAGACTTAAATGCCTACATCAAAAAGACAGAAGAACACAAATTAACAACATATTGTCACATCTCAAGTAACTAAGAAAGAAGAACAGACCAAATCTGAAGCTAGCATAAGAAAACAAATAACAAAGCTCAGAGCAAAACTAAATGAAATGGAAACCCCCCAAAAAAATACAAATGATCAATGAAATGAAAAGTTGTTTCTTTAAAAAGATTTTTTAAAACTCAATAGATCACTAGCCATATTAACCAGAAATAGAAGAGAAAGGATTCAAATAACTTCAATCAGAAATGAAAAAGGAGACATTACAACTGATAGCACAGAAATACAAAATATTACCTGTGAATACTATGAAAACATCTATGCAGAAAAACTAGAAAACCTAGAGAAAAAAGATAAATTCCTGGAAACACACAGTGTCCCAAGCCTGAATCAGGAAGAAATAGAAATCCTGAACAGACCAATAATGAACACATGGATTGATGCAGGAATAGAAAAATCTCCCAACAACAACAATAAAACCCTAGAACAGATGGATTTACAGCCTAATTCTATAAGACCTACAAAGAACTGGTACCAATCCTATAGAAACTATTCCATAAGCTTGAGAAGGAGGGAATCTACCCTAACTCATTCTATGAAGCCATTATCACCTTGATACCAAACCCAGGAAAGGACACAACAAAAATAGAAAACTACAGGCCAATATTACTTATGAACACAGATGCAAAAATCCCTAGCAAATACTAGCAAGTTGAATTCAACAGCACATCAAAAAGATAATCCGGCTGGGCGTGGTGGCTCACGCTTGTAATCCGAGCACTCTGGGAGGCCGAGGCGGGCGGATTGCTCGAGGTCAGGAGTTCAAAACCAGCCTGAGCAAGACCCTGTCTCTACTATAAAAAGCCAGGAGTTCAAGACCTGCCTGGGCAACATAGCAAGACCTCATCTCTAAAAAAAAAAAAAAAATCTCACAAAGAAAACACCAGGGCACATATTTCAGTCTTCTCCCCAGCTGCTATTATATATAAACATGAAAAGTAGCTTAGGGAGTCCTTTAGAAAAAAAAAAAAAAAAAAAAAAAAAAGATAATCCACCATGATCAAGTGGGTTTAATCTCAAGGAAACAAGGATAGTTCAACATAGACAAATCAATAAACATGATGATCCACCACATAAACAGAAACAAAAACAAAGACCATATGATCATCTCAATAGATGCAGAAAAATCATTTGATAAAATCCAGTACCTGGCATTCCCCCTAAGAACTGGAACAAGACAAGGGTACCCACTGTACCAGTTCTATTCAACATAGTACTGGAAGTCCTAGCCAGAACAATCAGGCAAGAGAAAGAAATAATAGGCATCCAAATTTGTTGATGATATGATCTTGTATCTAAAAACCTTTAGGTTTTCTCCTGGAATGATAAATTCAGCAAAATCTCAGGTTACAAAATCAATGTATACAAATCAGTAGAATTTCTGCATTTTGTTATAATAACAGTCAAGTTGAGAGTCAAATCAAGGACTAAATACCATTCACAATAGTTACAAAGAAAATAAAATACCTAGGAATATACTTAACCAAGGAGGTGAAAGATCTCTACAAGGAGAACTACAAAACACTGATGAAAGAAATTGCAGATGACACAAACAAATGGAAAAACATCCCATGCTCATGGATTAATAGAATCAACATCATTAAAATGTTGGTGCTGCCCAAAGTGATTTACAGATTCAACAAAATCCCTATCAAAATACCAACATTGGCCGGGCGCGGTGGCTCACGCCTGTAATCCTAGCACTTTGGGAGGCCGAGGCGGGCGGATTGCTCAAGGTCAGGAGTTCGAAACCAGCCTGAGCGAGACCCCGTCTCTACCAAAAATAGAAAGAAATTAATTGACCAACTAAAAATATATATACAAAAAATTAGCCGGGCATGGTGGTGCATGCCTGTAGTCCCAGCTACTCGGGAGGCTGAGGCAGTAGGATCGCTGAGCCCAGGAGATTGAGGTTGCTGTGAGCCAGGCTGACGCCATGGCACTCACTCTAGCCTGGGCAACAAAGTGAGACTCTGTCTCAAAAAAAAAAAAAAAAAAAATACCAACATCATATTTCACATATCTAGAAAAAAAATAATTCTAAGCTTCTTTGGGGACCACAAAAGAGCCCAAGCAGCCAATCCAATCTTAAGCAAAAGGAACAAAACTGGAGGCATTATATAGTCTGATTTCAAATTATACTACAAGGTGATAATTACCTAAACAGCATGATATTGGTATAAAAGTAAGGCACCAAGACCAATGGAACAGAATAGAGAACCCAGAAATAAAACCATCTACCTACAACCAACTGATCTTTGACAAAGCAGATAACAACATACACTGAGAGAAGGAAACTCTATTTGATAAATTGTGCTGGGAACATTAGACAGCCACATGCAGAAGAATCAAATAGGATTCCTGTCTCTCACCATATACAAAAGTTAATTCAAGATGGATAAAAACTTAAATGTAAGGCATGAATACATAAAAATTCTAGAAGAAAACATAGGAAAGAGTCTTCTAGACATTGGCATAGGCAAAGAATTTATGACTCAGACCCCAGAGGCAAATACAGCAACAACAAAAATAAATAAATGGGACTTAGTTAAATTAAAAAGCTTCTGCACAGCAAAGGGAATAATCAACAAAGTGAATAGACAACTTACAGAATGGGAGAAAATATTCGCAAACTATGCATCTGACAAAGAACTAATATCCAGACTTTACAAAAAATTCATACAAATCAGCAAGAAAAAAAAACCATCAAAATGTTGGCAAAAAACATGAACAGAAGTTTTTCTGAAAGAAGATAAACAACTGGAAAAAAAAACATAAAGAAAATATGATATATATATACATACACACACACACATACACACATACCTTGGCGTATTACTCTGCCATAAAAAGTAATGAAATAATGTCATCTGCAGCAACTTAGATGGAACTGGAGACCATTACCCTAAGTGAAGTATCTCAGGAATGGAAAACCAAACACCACATGTTCTCACTAATAGCGGAAGCTAAATGACAGGTACACACGGGCACAAAGTGATACAAAGGACACAAGAAACTAGGAAAATGGGAGTTGGAGGGGTGTGTGCAATAAAAACTTACCTACTGCATACAATATACACTGTGCTGTTGCTGGGCATACCAAGAGCCCTGACTTAAGCATATACAAGATATCCATGTGACAAAAATACTTGTGCCCCCTTAATTAATATTTTGAAATAAAAACAAAACAAAACAAAACAAAACAAAAATAGGTCTGTCATCCAAAGGCCAAAGGAAAGGGCTCAGCTCACCAGAGCCCGTCCTTCCCACGATGCCCACCGCTTCGTGGCCATGAATGGTCAGGTTGATTCCATGCAGGACGACAGGCGTGTTGTCTCTGTATTTCATCTGATAATCCTGGAACGTGATTTCCCCACGCTGTGGCCAACTGTGGGGACAGCTCATGCCTTCTATGTGCAAAGAAGCCTCTGAGACACACATCTTGTTTTTAAAGAAAGAAAAAGACATCAGCCGTTACCAGCAGTCTCTGTCCATCACCTGTGGGCCTGCTGGCCTCCAGCTATTGGGTATGTGACCGCCCCAACCTGCCCTGCACCACGGTCAAGCCACCAGCTGTGTGATCAGAAGAAAACCCCAAGAGGAACATCCCCCCACGCCCCTCACACTCACCTGAAACACACGCACTTTGTCCCCAGAAGAGTGAGAAACCCACATAGCCAGCCCCCTTGTTATTATTAACTTAGAGCACTTTTTCTCATTTATCGTGTGAGGCTCTAACAAAATACAATCCACAATAATGACAAAAAGCCACCAGAGATAACTAATCCCTGCAGGGTGTGTTTTGTAGCTCAGAGCCCTTGTGCGACTTTCTCTTTCTCTATCCTCATCCTGTGAGGTGAGCCTTTTTAGGTGCATTTTCCAGGCAAGGAAAGAACGGCTCCAACAGGTTAAACAACTTGTTTAAGATCACACAGTGTATGAGTGGACGAACTGGGATGCAAACCCAGATCTGCCAAAAGCCAAGCCAAACCCAGCACTGTGCAGCGTGCACTGCATAGCTGGATGTGTTAAGAGGAAAGATCACTGGAGAAGTAGGGTCACCAGCTGCAAGTCACAGCTCTCCGCTGCCAGGGCAGCATTACAGCAGCATCTCTTGGCATGAAATCAGAGCCCTACAATTCAGAACTTCCACTCACGTGAGGAGCCAGGGGACCTGGTAGTGGAGGGAGTGTGACCTTCAGCAAGATGTTCAGCCTGGCCAAGCCTCAGTTTGCTTGTCTGGAAAATGTAATCATTCCACTGTCCTAATAAAATTGTTTGACTCTGTGAGACAATCTATTCAAAGGGCTTAGCACAGTGCCTGGCCCATAAAATCTCAACTATAAGAATCAATAACATTCAATAACGTTATTTCACTGGTCCAGGCACTGTGCTAATTGCACTATATGTTATACTGTTTCATCTTTGTAATAATCCAATAAACTAAATACTGTTATCTTTCCCATTTCAGAATGGGAAACAGAGAGTTTGAATAAACTGCCCAGGGTTATTCAGATGTTTCAAATGTCAGAGCTTGGAATTGAACCCAGGCAATCTGGCTACAGAATTTGTGCTCTTAACTATTAATGCTATGGCATAAATAGACACAATAATAATGCTATTGAGGAAAGATGATTGAGGAATTAATGACATGTGGCTGCCCGCATGTCATAAGGTTTTTATTTTATCCTATCATCCAATATTGCTATATACTAAAGACAGAATTGATTTCAGGAGTTTGGGCAGGGTTTGCCCTGGAGGAATATGTGAACTCGTTAGTTTGCATATCAAGGGCGGCCTCCTTTGGGAGGGCTCTGGAAGCTTCAGCAGATGCATTCCATGAGGCTCCTCATGTCTCCGATCTGTGACGCCTCCCTGATCTTGAAAGACAAGACAGGTACATGCCTGGGTCACAGGTAGGAGCTGGAACAATGAGCGCCCCAGCCCAGAGATGAAGCCCTGTGGTTATGAGCAATTTAGAATGAAGAGCTGGGCTTCCTGATTTTTCCTGACTGTCTCAAATCCACAATAACTAGATAAAAGAAGTATCTCTGTGTTACTCCTCTGTTAATTGACAGCTATCTCTTAGAAGTTAGTCCTTGAAAGATTCTGTAACTGTTTGTTCACATAGATAGACTAGATTAGAAATTGTTAGAAGCCCTTTGAAAAAAACATTTTAATCCAGACTGAACTGCCTATTATTATGTAAACCTTACTCCCAGACCTAAACTACCAGTTATATAAATCTGTTACCTGTAGCAACCGCACTACCTGTTATTATGTAAATGTGTCACCACTGGCAACCGATAACTGATATTTGTGATTATAAAATCTATGTGAAACTTACCTCGTGGCTCCACTACTGAGGGAGATGCAGGGGAGACCCCTGAGTGCCCTCGCTCTATCTTCATTTCTTTATATAAACCTATAAAGCTATACCTTCGTCTCTGTGTCTTCTTTTATTTCCTTTATCCTCTCTATGTCCTATTAATTTTTTATCTTCTGTGATGACCACTCCCCTAGGGACCTGATTTCTCGCGTGGAGAAGTGGCTGGTCTGCCCACGGCCTGCCCGCACAGTGCCAATTACTCTGCCATCATTATTACTGTTTGGGGCTAACCGATCACTTCTGCAAAGAGCAGACTATTCCCTCTCCGCGCAGGAACACGCAGAGAGGCGGGCAGATGCGAGGCGGGCACGGAGGGGCTTCGGAGAGCCGGCCAGCGCAGGTCTGGGGCCGGCGAGGACGGGCCGGGCCCTGCTGCTGCGCGCGGAAGTCCCCGAGCCCCGCGCCGCACCAGACCGCATCCCACCTTCATGTATCGCAGCATCCTCTCCACCGCCGTGAAGTGCGCCCCTGTCTCCGAGCCGAGCCGTGCAGCCGCCTGGAAGTTGGACGCCAGCTGGAAGGAAGGAGAAGCGTCAGGAGGGCAAGAGGCCGCCTGGGGTGTGGCAGGTTCTCGGCGCTCTGGAGCACCGCTGGCAGCCATCGCCCTGCGCGACCCCACAGACCGGCACAGTTTCCCCAGCGAAAGCGGAGCAGAGGCCCCTGCCCCTCGGCCCGCTTCTGAGTTTAGCTGCAGCTGTGGTGGGCAGTTTGGGGCGAGAACCCCACTGGACACCACCACTCCATCTCAAGCGCCCTGTCTTTCTGCTCTCTGCTCAAAACCTCTCGCCGCCCCGCGCACACGTCCGCCCCGCGCACACGACCGCACTGCAGGAGGAGGCGCTCCACACACACGTGCGCCCACACACACGTCCGCACCGCGGGAGGAGGCGCCCCGCGCACAAGTGCGCCCGCACACACGACCGCACTGCAGGAGGAGGCGCCCCGCGCACACGTGCGCCCCGCACACACGTCCGCACCGCGGGAGGAGGCGCCCCGCGCACACGTGCGCCCCGCACACACGACCGCACTGCAGGAGGAGGCGCCCCGCGCACACGTGCGCCCCGCACACACGTCCACCCAGCACACACGCGCATCCCGCACACACGTCCGCCCCGCGCACACGTGCATCCCGCACACACGTCCGCCCCGCGCACACGTGTGCCCCGGAAACTGCAGCGGGTTAAGGCCGTGGAGAACAAACTTCAACTGCCGGGGAACAAGAGCTGGCAGGTAAATGCTCCCATCTCTCAGCCTTCGGGAGCACAAAGCTGGGAATATCCCAAATGCTCCTTGGGAGATCCCGGTAAAGTTAAGCCCTGGTGACCTAGTTTAGGGCAGAGGAAGGGCAGAGGAATTTGTAGGACAGAGGAAGGGCAGAGGAATTCACTTGGGTGGGGCAATGAGCTAACCGCAAACCTTTGCTTCTGGTCATTGCTTGCTTGCTACACCGCTGTATGGGGAATTATGGGATGAGGTCATTGAAGCACAGGCGACTGGCCCATCAGGCAATAGAGGGCAACCAACCTGCCAATTATTTCAAAAGGCAATAGTGGGCAACCAATCATTTTAAAGGTCAACACATAATCCATACGTAGTCAGTTTATGCGCAGCTTGGGCACCGTGGGGATAAAAGGCATGCCGTTGTTCTGGTAGGGATCCTTGCCTGGAGAGTGGCCACCGCGTTGGTGCTCTGGGGCTTGGACCCTGGCTAGCCAGAAAATAAACCTCCTCTTGTATGATTGCATCCTCAATGTCTCTGCTTTTCTGTCCGGTGGGGCTGTGGAAGGTCGGTCCCTAACACTAGAATGACACACTCCAGGGACCTTGATGACACACTCCTATGATGGATTTCCTCCTTCCATGTCCCACTCTCCTGCTTCCTCAATCCTGTTTTCTGGGTGCATCTCTTGTTTCAGGCCCTGGCTTCAGAGAAATCCAAGAGTCTAGGGACTTATGGGCATTGGGGGCACCAAAGATGAGGAAACTGAGGGCCAGAGAGAGGGCATGACATACACACAATCATCTGAAAGCTGGAGGCAGAGCTGGGGTTGAGACCCTAGCCCCATCACTCTGGCCCAAGAAACGGGTAAACAGGATGTGCAGAGGGTGCTAGGTAACAAGTTCATCATACATTCATTCAACAAACTCTGGTGGAAGGCTTTGTGCCTGGTGCGGGGCCAGGCTCTGTGTCCCAAAGTGCAGCAGACACAGCCCTGCCCTTGAAGAGCTCCCCTAAGGGCCGGGGCAGCAGACAAGCCAACAGAGAATGGCAGTGCAGACGGACCCGTTCCACAAGGGAGTCGACCCACAGGGAGACTCCGATGAGGCCCACAGGGAAGGGCTTCTGCAGGAGTGGACACTGCAGCTACATTGTCAAGGAGAGATAAGATTTAGCAACCTAAAGATGGTGGAGAAGTGTTTGGCTATGGCCAAAACAAAGAGTGTGGGAAAGGGGAGGAGAAGCCCTCTTAAGTCCAAGAAGGTGGACACCATGCTGAAAAGACACTGGGTTGGGAAAAGAGGCAGGTGGGCTGGAAGACTGTCTTTCCTCCTGTCCCCTAGTGGTTCAGACACTGAGGCTTACCTTGCCAGCTGGCCAATGTCGCGTTCAGGTATCTGTGCTTCGGGGAAGCTTGGTTGATCCAAACCAATCATGATAACTCCACTCCTCTTGCCAGTGATTAGTTAGGTTCCAGCCAATGAAGCATGAGGGTTAGAGGGGAGTATTCTGGGGAACTTTGCTTTTAAGAAGAACATGTGGAAAAAGTTATCTCTCTCTAGCCTTTGGCTATTATTGTGTGAAGATGCATTGCCTGGGGCTGCTGTAGCCATTTTGTGATAATGAGTATAGATAACAAAGGACAAAGCCAGGCTGTGGATGCCAATGCAGAAAGATAAAAACAATTATAGATTCATGCTAAGCTACTAAATTAACCAACTGAGAATGGCCCTGCCTTGGCCTTCTGGTTAATAAGATAATAAGTTCCCAGACAGTCCAGCCATTTTGAGTCAGTTTTTTGGCTTGCAACTAGAAACATCTCTGACATTTACTGAGAAACGCCTAGGGCTTCAAAGCAACATGGTATGTGATTCCTGTCTCTCAAAGCTTGGACATCGGTTCCTCAAGAGTGCATGCAGACGCCAGGGAGGTACTGCCTTGACCGCAGTAGAGAGTGCACTTCGGGGTCAGGCCCCACAGCTCGGGTTTGGTACGCAAGGAGACAGAGTTTCTGAAGGCTTCTGAACAAGGCAGTGACGTGATGAAAACTATACAGTTCAAGATCACTCTGGTGAGAGTGTGGGAGGTGGAGTGGAAGGTGCTGAGCGACTGGAGGCTAGGAGGTTGCTGCCCAAGGTGGGGTAAGACACTCGAGCAGGGCGATAGAGCTTGAGAAGAAAGAATGTGCTTCAGGGGCTGTTTTGAGGCAGTCGGTTGTCCAGGCAGGTTCCCCACTAGCGTCCCATGGTGGAACAGCCTTTGAACAAGTGCCCGTGCACGGTGCTCCCTGGGGCTGGGGCCCTGGCCGCCCCCACAGGGCTGCGCTCCAGGCAGCGCCAGCGCGGCACAGCCCTGCCCCAGCCGGCCCTTCTGGCCGTGCCCTGCAGCACAGCGGGGTCTGCGCTCAGCCATTCCGCACCCCTGCGGCATTGGCGTGCGCCTCTCCCCCAGAGCTCTGGAAGGCTTGGGAGCAACTCTGCGCGGGCCTGCAGGGGTGTGTGTTAGGGAGAGGGGGAGGGTGCGGCCACTGTGGACACAGCAGCCTCCCACTGGCGGTGGGACAGGGGCAAGTTGCTGGGACGCCCTAAGCCGTAAGTTTCCTATCTGTAAGACAGGAATGGTAATAGCTAACATTTGTTGAGCACTTATTCTGGGTGAGGCACTATTCTAGGTGTTTTACATGCATTAACTCTCATGTTTATGCATAATCCTCACAAGTCTATGATTTCAGAGCTTTTATTATAACCCTTTTACAGATGAGGCATCCCAGGCACAAAGAGGCTAACAAACTACCTCAAAGTCACACAGCCTGGGTAGAGCCTGGTTTGAACCTGGGCGTTCCAAACCACACATCCTTAACCACCTTGCTGCGTCTCAGGCTCTGGTGTGGTGAGGACTGAACGGAAGGTGCACAGCACGCGCCCGAGCTCCCGGGAAACCCGCTGGCACTGCGCTCCTCAGGCATCGCGTGTGTGGGCTGCACAGCTGTCCCCCGTGCACCTGTGGAGGGGTCTGCACACACAGGTGGCTGTGTGCACATAAATGTACAAAAGTGCATGTCCGTGCAGATACGTGCCTGCCACAGGGAGTACAGCAAGACTGGCCTCTTTTGTTTACTCAGAATTATACCTCAGCATTGAGGACAAAGCCCAATGGGACACACATGCGATCCCAAGCCAATTAGAGAACGAGCCGCACGACCACAGAGGGGACAGTTAATAAATAACCCCCAGGGAGGGAACCCTGGAGCCATACAGCCAGGGTTCCCTGAGCCACTACTGAGTCAGCCTCAGGCCTCACACCCCTTCCCAGACAGCCCTTCCCAGACACCCCTTCCCGGACACCCCTTCCCAGACAGCCCTTCCCGGACAGCCCTTCCCAGACAGCCCTTCCCGGACAGCCCTTCCCGGACAGCCCTTCCCGGACAGCCCTTCCCGGACACTCCTTCCCGGACAGCCCTTCACGGACACCCCTTCCCGGACACCCCTTCCCGGACAGCCCTTCCCGGACAGCCCTTCCCGGACAGCCCTTCCCGGACACCCCTTCCCGGACACCCCTTCCCGGACACCCCTTCCCGGACAGCCCTTCCCGGACACCTCTTCCCGGACAGCCCTTCCCGGACACCCCTTCCCGGACAGCCCTTCCCGGACACCCCTTCCCGGACAGCCCTTCCCGGACACCTCTTCCCGGACAGCCCTGCCCGGACAGCCCTTCCCGGACAGCCCTTCCCGGACACCTCTTCCCGGACACCTCCTTCCCGGACAGCCCTTCCCGGACACCCCTTCCCGGACAGCCCTTCCCGGACAGCCCTTCCCAGACAGCCCTTCCCGGACAGCCCTTCCCGGACAGCCCTTCCCAGACAGCCCTTCCCGGACAGCCCTTCCCGGACAGCCCTTCCCAGACACCCTTTCCCGGACAGCCCTTCCCGGACACCTCTTCCCGGACAGCCCTGCCCGGACAGCCCTTCCCGGACAGCCCTTCCCGGACACCTCTTCCCGGACACCTCTTCCCGGACAGCCCTTCCCGGACACCTCTTCCCGGACACCTCTTCCCGGACAGCCTTGCTGGACAGCCCTACCTTTTAACTACCTACCCGGGCGACACAAAAGTTTGACAACCCAATCAAGGTAAGAACAACTAAGTACAAAGAACAAACCAAGTGTTCAGGGTTCTCATTCCAGCTCTGCTCACACTCTGTTTGGACAATTCCTTTCCCTGTCTGGGCCTCAGTTTCCCCATCTACACAATAAGAACTTTGGCCTCTGTTGCCTGTGGGCTCCCCTTCACTTCAATGTTCTATGATTCCGTTAAATACCTCCCAAGACAGACTTCCCAAGTCAGAGGCGGCCACAGGGAAACAGCAAAGTAGCCACATTCAGAGGCCAAGCACATAGCCCGTAGGACCCCACGTGGCCACAGCTCAAGGTGTAATCAAAGCCCCAATGACCCCTTGGGCCTGCTCGGGGCCACGGGCCGAGGACAGGCACAGTTCGGGAGGGCCCCTGAGAGTCCGGCCTCACCTGCAGCACCACACTGATAGCCATGGCTTTGTAGGAGCTGGGGGAGGTGCCGAAAGCCAAGAACAAGGCCACAGCCAAGGTCACCAGGTTGATCATGGTCTCCAGCCGCAATGCCACCCAGCGCGTGGAGGACAGAAACAGTAGCAGGTAGTTATTCTGCACATCAGTCAGCCGCTTAAACCTGAGGAAGAGAGCACAGCGTGGGACCGCGTCTCCCAGCCCGGCTTCCCCAGGGCGGGCGCTGGCTGCTCCCTCCCCTCTCCCGCAGCAGAACTCGGTTTTTCTGGGGGGGTTCCACCCTAGCCCTTTCTAAATCACGGATTTGGGTGAGGTTGACCTTACTCCTGACCCGAGTGAGGAGCAGGTCTGCTGGCCTTGGCCCGCCTGCACTTGCTCTGCCCAGCCTGGGGATGGGGGAGTCCCCCAGCCGGACTGCAGAGAGGCAGCCAAGGCCAGGACTTGTGAGAGGTGCAGGGAAGTGGTGATGGGACATCTGAAACTACTATTTTGTCCCTGTGAGAGCCTGGGGCTGCCAGGGGATCTCCAAGAAATTAAAGGTGAAATGCCGCCATGGAAGGCAGAGCAGTGAAACGGCGGCAATCGGGGTCCCCGGGGACGTCAGCTGGGCTCTGGGTTCACCCCACTTGCAGTGAGTCCTCCCTTCGCCTCCTCACTTATCTGACCCATTAGGAGTGCCCATCCCCCCTTTCTCAACCTTTTGTTATGAGAATTTTTATAAGTACAAAGAAATTAAAAGGTTGATTTAATGAAGATCTGTATGCCCTCTGCCTAATTTAACAATTGTTACTATTGTGCAATAAAGTCTTTTATTTTTTAAGCTAGTTTAAATTATTTTTCTGTCACTTCCAACCAAAAGAGACCTACCAAATTTCCAGTTTTCATATACTACCATCACAATTTTCCACGTCAGTCATAATTTATACTATTTGATGAATGTTTTTATTTTCACTTGCTTCACTTTATTTTAGAATTTATATTAAAGGAAGCTTTATCACTACCTTAAATTACATGGGGTTTAATGTGATAATTGTACTTTTTCTAAAGCGCATTCAAATAAACCTTTGATTATTGAAATAAAATGTTCATCTACCTATCAACTAAAACCACCCTACCACTCAAGTGGGCAACCACCCAAATGCGTATGACTCATTCTGTCTATACCTTTTGCACAAGCCACTGCAAACTCCGTCCACCTGACCCTTCCACAGTGATTGAGTCACAGAGTCTTTGCATTTACTGTTCCCTCTGCCTGGAAAGTTCCTACCCACGTACTTCCATAGCTTAACCCTCACTCTATGTGGCTCTCTGTTCGGTCCCTTCCCCTGAGGCTTTCCCCTGTAGCACTCCAGTCCCACCACAGTCTCGCTGTCTCCTTGCCCTGCTTTGTGCCTCTGGGCAGGGACTGCGTCTGTCTTATTTATAGCTATATCCCTAGTGGGTGCTGGTACATGGCAGGTTCTCAGCGTGGACTGAGCTTATGAATCGCTCCAGGATCCCCTCAGGCCTAGCGTCTGCACAGGCCCTGGGTGCTCTCCAACACCACTGGGGAGCAGGAACCAGGTTCAACCATGTTCCAGCTAACTGAGCACATGCCATCTCCCAAGTGTGTGCCCCAACCTTGTCCATGCTTCGAAAGCCAGCTCAGATGCCACCTCTCATCCAAGCCTCTCTTATCCCCCAAGGCCACCTTTTCCCCTCTGAACTCCCAGGGCAGTTTGTCTTCTCCCTCCTGTGCCGACCATCTTGTCCACCCTGTGTCATAACAGAAATGCATGCTGCCATCCCCTCCCCCACCAGACTGTGGGCTTCCTGTAGGCACAGACCACGCATGATTATTCTCTACAGGTTTATATTACACAATTAAGCCTCAAAAACAATCATAGGATTTGTTTGCTTGTTTGTTTCAGAAAACATTCAGAAGGCAAATCTATGGGGGTGTGAGTAGTGAATGAAGTTCTATTATTTAGAAAGCTATCGCTCCTCATTATTTCACTAAAATTAGATATTTGGAAGTGAAAGCAAAAAATCATTATGCAAGATGTGTTGACACAATGATACATCTTATTGTTAAATATATATATGTATAGATATAGACAAATATCCATAGGTCTTTAAAGGTTACAAATATTTTCCATATCATTTATACTTTTTATTCTCATAAACACCATCTTACAGATGAGGTTCTGGAGGCTCAGAGGAATAAATGGAACAGAACGAAGTTCTGTATGATTCTTTAGAAGGTGATGCCATTCGTAGGTGCTCTGCTCCCCTTCCCAGTCCTCACCACCCCTCTGGCCCCCGTCATCCTCAGATGGCAGCAGGAGGACTCACTGGCTGATGAAGGCTTCAGATTTCCCATAGACGTGGATGGAGCTCAGGCCACGGAGAGAGGTCAGGATGTGGGAGAATAAAGGAGACCGGCTGTAGTTCTCCAGCCTCTTGAACAGGTTGATGGCTTTCCTGAACATCCTGTGTCGGGAATGACGGTGCGAGACCTGAGCCATCCACCTCTGGGACCACCCCGTCAGGTCAGCCCCAGCCGTGCCCACTGCTTGTGCCCACTCACAAGCAGAAAGAACCTACTCACATATAGTACACGAGGCAAACCACGATGACGATGGCCACCATCAGCAGGATATACGGAGACAGCAAAACAACAATCAGCAAGATGGCGACTACCACCAGAAACAGCAGCAGGAACTCCTCAGCAACGATGGGCAAGACCTGGTCCACCTCATCCAAGTCCCCCGCAAAGCAATTCAAGAGTCGGCCCGTTGGGGTCGTGTCAAAGAAACTCATGGGGCAGCGGAAAACCTGTAGGGACAAAAAGCAACCCAGACCGTGAGAGTAGCTACAGCCTTGCTTGGGAGTGTGGGAGACGCCTGTCCCCTTAGGCTCTGAGAGGTGCAGGACACAGCGAGGGCAGCAGGGCAGTGGTGCCGGGCAACGGCTGAGGAGCATGGGTGGGCTCTGCAGCCCGCCTGTCAGGCTCCGAGGCTCCCCAACCCCCTCCTACTGCTGTCTGCCTCGCACAAGTTATTAAGGTCATTAAATATAAATGTCTGATTTTGAATCAAGAGTTTGGTTTATTATATCTCAAACAAGAAGCAGTACAAATAATCAAAGTATGTGCCTGACCTAGCAACACAGTTTTGCCATCTTGACAATAGCTTGTTTATGCCAGCAGCAAAGAAGCCTGTAGAGTGAGTGGTAATGACAACACAGAAAGTGTTTTGGCAAACTTGTTGGGAGTTCAATGCTCTTCCTTGCAAGAAGTGGTCCAAAGCCTGGAAGAAGTGATAATCAATTGATGCAAGGTCGGTGAAAACGGTACATGACAGAATTTCCAAGTCTACCCTCTGTAGTTTGAGCAGCACTGTTTGTGCAACATGTGGTCGAGCATTATCTTGCAAAAGGATTGGCCTGTCTTTATTGACCAATCTCAGCTGCTTCATCACAAGCATCCTCATCATTTCATCCAATTGGTTGCAGTAGCCATCCGCTGTAATCGATTGACCAGGTTTCATGAAGCTGTCATGGATAATAGTGGCGCTGGGCCACCAAACAGACACCATTAGCTTTCTTGGATGAATATTCAGTTTTGGACTGTGTTTCGGCACTCCATCTTTATCCAACCATTGTGCTGAACCCATGCGATTGTCAAAAAGAATCCATTGTCATCACACATTACAATACGGCATAGAAATGTTTTGCCTTTATGTTATGACCACAAAGAAAGGCAAACTTTGAGACAATTTCTACTCTGACACACGTTTAATTCATGTGGTACCCATCTACCCAGCTTCTTTATCTTGCCAATTTGTTTCAAAAGGTCCAATATTGTTGGAATAGTAATGTAAAACTTTGCTGCTAATTATGTGTAGGTTGGGATGGATTCGCTTCCACTACAGCTTCCAGCTCATGGTTATCCACCTGGGTCTCAGGTCACCCATGTGGCTCATTTTCAAGATTAAAATCACCAGAATGGAACTTATCAAACCATTGACGTAATGTGCATTCATTAGCCACATCCTTCCCAAAAACTACTGATATTTCAAGCTGTCTGAGCTGCATTGGTTCCATGATGGAACTCAGATTCGAAAATAATGCAAATTTTTTACTTATCCATGGTGTCACAAAATTGCTCTAAAAATAATTTGCAAGACAATCACAAGCCAAAATGTGCATTTGAAAGACTGAGGATGTACCTTCACAATCAACATAAAATAAGAAGTTTCAAAGAGAAATGTCAAAGACATCAACTGTCAAACTTAGTGTTTAAGGAAATCAGACATTTCAGACTCAATAACCTAATATTAACCCCTATGAATCTCCAGGTTCTCATTTGTGAGGTGGGATGATAATGGTGCTTCACAGAACTATGGTGAGGATCGACAATTCTTCAAATGTACCAAAAACTTCTGAATTGTACAATGCAAAGGAGTAAATGATATGTCACAGAGCTATGATTAAGAGAGAGAGAGAGAGAACCCTGCCTACCCTGGTACGCATCCCATTCTTATTTCTACAGATGGGACCATTTTCAATCAGGATTGCCAAAGCTTAGTAGCCCCAATTCCACTGCAGTTGCACAAGATTTGGACTCGAGGATGAAATTCAACCGTCCCTGCCCCTTCTTGAAGCCGGCACGGCAGCCTGAGCTCTAAAAGCCAGTGGACGTGAGGCCCTTCAGCAAAGAACATTTCAATAAAGCCCTAAAAGGACTAGAAAAAGGAAAATATTTTAAACATGAAACATATTTTCTAATGGAAAGAAACTTGAACATTTCTCAAAAGTAAAATACAAAATGTCACTGGGAGGTCTGGGCATTGGAAAATTTCTAGAATCTTGGAGTGTGCAGTCGAAAGAACCTCAGAGACCACCCAGCTGAGGGCCAGCACCACAGGCCCCAGGCAGAGTTTTCCTCTCCTGCTTTCTGGGTCCACCAACCAATTGCTTTACTTCATCGTCTCAAAACGGAAACACTTAACAGCAAGACAATTCGCATTCAGCCTGCGAACAATGATAGGTCCCTCCTTGCCTCCTGACTCAGAACCCCTGCCCCACCCTCCCAGGCACAGCCTTCCTGAACTCCCTTCACCTCCCCAGGATGCTCTGCTTTCATTTTACCTCTAGCCCCGTCTGATCTTGAGCTGGCTAAATCTGATTCATCCTTTAAAGAGTGGTCACCTCCTCTAAGAAATCTTCTTGACTCCCCCCACTTCTTTCTACCAAGGTTACGTGTCCCTTAGTGCCACTGGGCCTGTGTGACCAACCTATGGTAAACTTCACGCCCCATATCACAGTGGCCCATTTCCTTGTCCATCTTCCCCACTAGATTACAGGCCTGTGACAGCCCAATGCCACCTGCACCAATCATTCACACCTGCAAGCCCAGCACCCACTGCAGAACCTGGCACATAGTAATACTTGAAACGTGAGAGAGAGAAATGATGTTTCCAAGAGACAATGTGACACCACAGACAATTTGGTATTCTCACCACACATGTGTTCTAATCATGACACAAGAGATTTCCATTTTCTCATGCGTAAAATGAGGATAATACCCCCTTCAAAGGGAACATGGGGCCACACAAGCATCTCTGTGCAGTGGTCTGCCAGTGGAGCCAGCCCTGGTGTGTCCGCTGAGCTCTTAGAGCCACACATCCAGCAGCAGGGATGCTCTGACGCCCCTTCCTCATTCCTTCCCCACCTCGTGTCCCAGTCCTCCCACCTGCAACTATGACACTCTGGAAAAGGCAACACCATGGAGGCAGTGGGAAACATCAGCAGTTACCAGGAATTTTGGGGAGGAGGATAGGCAGAGCACAGGGGGTTTTAGGGCAGTGACACTACTCTGTGCAGTGGATACATGTCATCATATGTTTGTCAAAACCCATAGAATATACAACACAAAGAATGAACTGTATCTGTAAACCTAAACTGCTCAAAAAACAAAGTCTACTAATTAAAAAAAAGGGGGGGCAAGGTCAGGGCCCAGCCTGTGGCCACACCCAGCACCCACGTGCATACCTTGTTCAAGAGCTTGCTGTGCAAGGCCGTGGATGCCTTTCTTGTGATCTTGGTGAAAGTCCCTGAGGAGAAGATGCTCACGCAGACCAGGAGCAGGAGGCTGAGGCCGTACACCAGCTGGTAAAAAGGTAGCTGGGGATTGTCCCCAATGTCACCTAGCTCTGCAGTGGTCCCATTGCTCTCTCGGCTGCTGTTGGTCTTCAAGAGAGAACAGGGGGTCAGACCGCATGAGGCCAGGGTGAAATTTGGTGGCACGAAAGTCCTCTCCCTACGGCTACATAAGACTCAGTGGCTGGCAGAAGGTTATGTTATGTTACATGTTAAAACCTTTCTGCACAGTGCCGTGGCTACTGTCCCTTCCTCTCCCCTCCCCTCAGCCCTGCTCTGGATGGAGCCCACTGCCGCAGGCAGCCCTTTCCACACTCTCCACTGCCACGCAGGGGGAAGCCTGGGAGCTCGGCCCAGACCCCTCGCCGCACGTTCCAGGTCTGCTGAGGAGAGGAGCTCAGGAATCCTGAAAGGAGGAAGAGGAGAAGCCATCATACTCTGGTGGCACCATGGGCAGGTGGGTGGCCGTTAATCTTGCCAGAGCTCATAGGCCTCCTTCTGAGAGCCACACGCTTAGTTCCACTTGCTGCTATGATTGCTGGTGGCCACTTCTCCGCCAGTGGCCGTGTAAGCTGCCAATTCCTACATTAGATCTTTGGAGGCTCTAAATAGTTAGAGTGGCTTCTGCCTTCCTGACCAAGCCCTCCAGACACTGCTCAAAAGCTGACCGAGTGGAGCACTGTGGGGAGAGCACAGCTTTGAGTGCCAAGAGCACCAAGTTCAAGTCCTGGCTCCTCGGTGTCCCAGGGCAGATTCTTTATCCCCTCTAGACACAGTGTCCTCATAGGTAAATGGGGACAGAGAAACCCACCCCAGAATCTGGTTGGGGAGATTAATGAGACAACCTGACACGGCGCAGCCCCCAGAGTGGCTCTCCGCTCCCAATGCCAAGAGCGCAGGGGCATGTTTTCAATAAGCCACAGCGAGACAGCAAGACTGGAGCCAAAGGAAAAAGTCACTCAGGTGGACTGTAAAGATTCTTGGGGAGCTGTTGGGGGACAGAAACCTCTTGATTTTGTCCCAACAAGACTGCATGGGTGACCACCCATTCTGCAACCCCAGGAGGCCAGCGCTAGGAGCAACGCCCACCCCGCAGTGCCCTGACTCCCAGATGGTGGTCTCTGAACACTTTCTGCTGACTCGGCTCTGGGCGCGCCCTGCGGGGCCCCTGGCAGCACTCTGGTCTCGTGTCCCAGGGAACGAGAAGCCACCCATCGCACCCAAGCCCACAGAAATACGATGCGCCTGCCCTGGGTACTTACCCCAGAGCCCTGCTGCAACCAATAGCTCAGCCACCAGAAGTTGAAGGCCGTGAGGGAAGCGATCAGAACCATGAGAAGGAACGCCACGAAAGCCACCACGTACCCTGGGAGGGAGGGACAGGTGACACTCAGGAACCAAAAAAAGGTGCATGGCAACAGCTGACAACACTGCTTAGCCATCTCCGGCCCTCAGTCCTTAGAAATCCTGACCCCTGGCCACCTTGGACACCTTAGAGGACTGGGAAGAGCTGGGTTCCAAAGTCAGAGAGCCCTGGGTTCAAATCCCAGCCCTACAACTTCCAAGCTGCATGACCCTGGACAGGGTCCCAAATGTCAGTGACAATTCACTTCTGCGCCTATGAAAAGGCGATCTCGTACCAGCTGCAGGGCCATGCTGAAGGCCACGTGAGATAACCTGTGCTGAGCGCCCGGCCCAGCGCGGCACACGGCAACCCTGGAGAGAACCGGTTCTGGGCCAGGCCTGCGGGACGGGGCTGTGAAGGAGGCTTCCGAGAGCTGCCTCTGCCTGTCGCTGTCTGTCCCTTTGGCCCTGTGAGGACACTTCTCTCCTCTCCAAAGGGCAGCTGGCGCAGTGCTCACGGCACCATCTCAGAGCAGCGGTGGCCCTCACCAGGCACCGGACCTGCTGGTGCCGTGAGCGGGGACTCCCCAGCTTCCAGAACTATGGAAACAAATTTCTGTTCTTTACAAATCCCCAGTCTTGGGTATTTTGTTGCAGCAGTACAAATGGACTGAAATGCTGAGGAAACTGAACCTCGGAGAGGGAAAGTAACTTGCACAAAGTCACAGAGCTGGTGCGTAGCAGGCCTGGAATGCAGAAAAGCTAAGGATGGGAAAACTCAGGGCACATTCCTCCCGCCTCTTGCCCCATCACTCTGCCCACCTACCCACGCTCATGGTCCCATGCCCATTGTCTTTTCCAAAATTCTCCTCTTCCTTCAAGGGCCACCTTTTCTTTAATGAGATCTGAGATTCCCTCACAGAAATCTCTCTCCCTATCTGGAGGAAGCAATGTCTTAAGTCTCCAGCTAGATTCCAGGGTTGGTTCTTAGATGGCTTTCTACTCCCTCCCTCCAGAGCTTGGTGCTGTGCCTGGCACATAGTAGGTCCTTTGTAAGTACAGATCAGTTGGCTGCTCAATTCATTTGTGCATTTCCCAAGCATCTGCTGTGGCCCTGCTCTGGGCAGGCCCTGTGTTACACTCTGCAGGGAGACCCGTGTTGGAAGGAGTGGGATGGTGGCCCCTGTCCACAGCCTGCCTCATCCTCCCCCAGACAGGTGGAGAGGAGGCACGCCTTACAGAGGATTAGGTTCCAAAGCCAACAAAGAGCAAAACGTTGCATGGAGTCAAAATTACTCTCAAAAATCTATTAAGTTACTCAAAAAGTGGAGTATCATACACTTGGTTTTGTGTTTACAACATCGTATAGTAAATATACATGTATAGTAAATATACATACCCCATTTAATAAAGCAGTAGCTTTGAATTTCTAAACACCATCTGCCTGCCTTAAGAAATACATTTTAAATCATGCCTAATAGACACCAAAACAAGTTTTACCAGTATTACTATATACAATGCTTGCTGACATTTTCAGTCCTAGCCTATTGCATTCATATATCCCATAAGCGAAATAGGACAATATGTATACCCCATTGTCTCTCAGTGCTGCTCATGACCTCTCTCTGTTGATTTCACAGGTCACTAGCAGTCAGAGCCCAAAGTTTGGAAAACCCTGAAATAATGAATAAGTATGAAAACATAACTTCTGACATAAGCTTTGGTGGTAGAGTTGTTACACCAACGATTACGTTTGCTTGGGTTTGTGCTAGTTAGGCTAATGCGTGGCATGGCTCCTCTGCACGTCTCCATTCCGCATGACCCCACATGTCCCCGTCTGACCCCGTTTCAGGGCAGGGCTGTTCCAAGAGAGAGCGCCAGGCCTGGCATGGGTGACTGACAGACTGTACCTCCGGCCGCCTGGATGTAGTAGTGGTAGACGGTCCAGCTCAGGGAACCTTCTTCCATCTCCTCCTTTTCTGTGAGCTGATGCTCTGGCACTGGGTCAGGGCGAAAGGAGAGGAAAACAGTGCACCTTCCGATGACCCGACCTCCCTCCAGGATCAAGAAGAATTCGGGCAAATCCTTCCACCCCTGGCTTTGACCCTTTCCAGCTTCCTCACCTTCCAGCTTCAGTGCCCCCAATATCTGGCCCTAACCAGCAGGTTTTCCACTGAAGATGCTGCTGGGAGAAACTTTGGACCTGACTCCAGAGCCTGGAAAGAGGCTCCACCCCTGGCCATCCAATAAACTTGGGAGGGCCTAGGTTCCCAAGTGCTTGATGGGCTAAGAGAGGCAGTAGCAGAGAATGAAGAAAGCAGTGACCTGGGACCAGAAAACGTGGGTTCCAGAATTGTCACCATGACACTGTGCAACCTCAGGCAAATCACTTAACCTCTCTGTTTCCTCATCTAAAACATGGCAGGCCTAGGTGGTTGCCAAGATGCTCTGCTACAGTACACTTCTGAGACAACACATGAAACAGCCATGACACCAGCCCGGCAGACCCTTTGGCCTTGAGCTGGTCCCACAGCCAGTACCTGGACAAACTAATAGATGCTTCTGATGGTAACAATGACAACAGTGGTGAGGGTCTGTCACTCTGCCAGACCTTCTCCTGCCCTCTAATAATGACGCCCCTGGGGAAGAGCTTTCTGCCTGGAATTTGAATTCTGAGGGAAATCACACTAGGATGGGGATTTTCTGAGTAGGCTTTCTTCAAAAAGACTCTCCTAGAGACGGGCCTGCAACGTGCCAGGCTCTGTGCTGGGGATTTGCCCCCACCGGACCTCAGCCAGTCTCCACTGTCGGCCTGCAAAGTGCTGTCATCTCCACTTTTGCCAATGAGGGTTCAGAGAGGTTAGGTTGTTTGATCAAGGTCACACAGCTTTCTGCTACTCTGCTTCAGAAAATAGCAAGGTCATGTGCTTTTGGATGTCAGGTGCTGGGCCCAGCTCATGTCTGATTTCTGACACCTCTGCTCCCAACGTTTACTCTTGGTGAATGTGTAATGAATGAATGTCCAGATGCCTCACAAGTCTTAAGTCTGTGCCCCCTAGGGCCACAGCCACCCCCTTCCTGTCTCTGATGCACACCCTCAGCTATGCCCGCGAGAACACTCCTGTCCGGTCCTCAGGCCTCCTGACCACCAGCCCTCACCTCACGGCCCTGGACTACTTGAGTGTGAACGTTGGCGATCTCAGACAGTGAGGGACACGGACTGGTTTAGGGCTCCGGAGGGCCCAGGCAGGCATGCAGAAACTCCCGCCGGCTTCCCACACCTTACCAGCCTCTTCCCTGAGACCCTCTTCCTGGGAGGTGGCCTGAGCCCAGCCTTCTGCGTGTGGCTTCTCCGCTGTCTTGGCTGTGTCCCGTGACTTGTCCTGTGAGAGGGCACATGCCATGAGTGCGGGCTGCTCTGCCCGTGGGCAGGGGGCGTGTCTGGAGTAGAAATCACCTGCTTCGCTTCCTCTGGCTGCATCTTCTGGATGAGGCGGGCATACCGCCCCCTGTTCTGCATTAGCTCGCTGTGAGCTCCATTCTCACAGATTTTCCCATCTTCTAGCAAAATGATCTGGTCACAAAACTCTAAGTACTGGGCAGTCAGAAGAAATACGGTCTTCAGTAAACATATGGGAAGACATTCAACTTCACTATTCATCAGGACAACATAAATTTAAATCATAATAAAACATTATATCACACCACCACACTGCAAACGTTTGAGAGCCAGACAACCCCAAGCGTTGATGATGTTTCAAGGTAAAGGGAACTCTTATAAAATGTTGGGTGACTGTAGATTGGTACAACTTTTTGGAGAACAATTTGATATAGTTAGTAACATGAAAGATTTTTAAAGAATTGTGAACCAATGGTTCAACTCTTAAAAACTCTATCCTAAAAAATTCTTAAACATGTGCATAAAAACACAGGTGTAAGGATGTAGATTGAACCATTTTTTGTAAAAGTGAAAGTGGGAAACAAATGTTCATCCTGGAGAAATAAATTCTGATATATTTAGATATTAGAATACTATACCAGTGGGAATTAAATAAAGCCATATGTACCAACATAGAAAATCTCAAAGAAACATAATGTTGAGTGCAAAAAGGAAATTACTGGCCGGGCACGGTGGCTCACACCTATAATCCCAGCACTCTGCGAGGCTGAGGCAGGAGGATCACTTGAGCCCAGGAGTTTGAGGTTGCTGTGAGCTAGGCTGATGCCACAGCACTCTAGCCCAGGCAACAGAGTGAGACTCTATCTTTAAAAAAAAAAAAAAGGAAATTACTGAAGGACACAGAAAGTAAAATATCAATTATATTAAGTTTAAAATACATAAAATATTCAGTATCTATATCCTAGAGAAAAATGCAGAAGGAATTTAGCAGCGATGTAAAGCTGTCTAGAGATTCACACACATGTTGTAACAGCACGAAGACAGGCATTGAAAACAAAAAACTACAATGTGAGAATAGCAAGAGGGAGGGGATGGAATGCAATTTGAAAGTGGAATTAATGTTTTATTGTTTAATCCGGGTGGTAGATTCATGAGCTTTCCTTAATTATTTTCTGAACCTTTTTCAGGTCTTAAATATTTTATGCCAAAAAAATGCCAAAATAGTAAAGCAAAAATAAGGGATCAAGAGAAAAAGAAACGGGAGAAATAATAATATGGTCTCAAGGCTGATGCCATGTGTGAAAATAGCAGGGAAAGTGACCCAGGTGAGGCAGAACCACACACAGCCACTCTGCTATGGCTGTTGTCAATAAGAAAACACCCTGAGGTGGCTCCTAATCTAAGAATGGGAGAATTGGAGAATTCTTCTCCAAGGGATCGTTTTTTATTTTTGTAACTTGAAAAGCAGGGGTCCATTCACAAAATTTTGAAGATAAAGTAGACTTTAAAATTTGGTTTCAAGTTTTACCAAACACAGAAATCTTTCACTAGCTTGTCTTCTTCATATGGAAAGCAGAAGAAATCCAAGCTCTTTACAACCCTCCCTTCAGCTGGGGGAATCTAGCCTGGGATGAGAGGACAGCTGCTATGAGCTTGTTATTGAATCATAATCTGAAATGTCAGGGCCTCGAGAATTTGTGCTCTCTGTCACTCGTGGCTAGAACTGTAGAGGGGTGGTCACCTGCAGCTGGTGGGTCACCAGGACAATGGTCTTGTCCTTGAGCATCTTCTTAATGCACTCCTCAAAGATGTGCTTCCCCACGTGGACGTCCACGGCTGAGAGGGGGTCGTCCAGCAGGTAGAGCTGACAGTCAGAGTAGGCAGCGCGGGCCAGGCTGATCCTCTGCCTCTGCCCCCCAGAGAGGTTGAGGCCCCGCTCCCCGATCTGTGGACAAGCATCAAAAGGCTCCATGTTCCGAGAGTGAGCACAGTCAGGTGTGCTTCAATGAGGGGCAGATGTGGCAGACTGTACGTCTCAGTATAGACCAAGATATGTGCACATTGTAGGACACCTGATGATTTGGCACCCCTGGCAGTTAAAAAATGTTTTTAAAAATGTGCTTAGTAGGGAATACAGAAACTGATTTTCAATTACTATTTTTACATCTTAATTAGATACAATTTTTCTTAACCTATCAACTTCTCAGGAGGCATATTAAACTAATAAAAATTTAGATGGTAAAAATAAATCACTCATTCCCAAGAAACAGCACCATCTTACATGTTATTCAGATTTTAAATTTCCATTGACTGCACCTGTCAACTTGCAGGACCATCAGCCTGGGTTAGGGGTATCACCTAAGACCATGTGCATCATGTGTAGTCACCCAATAGACACAGCTTCATTGGCTGGGGGGACCTTTACTGTTGTTCACTTAGGTGTTGAGGGTGGAAACCTGAGTTACTCAGCATGTTTTGATTGCCCTTGCAGGTTAGCATTCTATCTGGCAGCTGCTAGCTGACCCCTCTCTTAGTCAAGCTCTGAGTGCATAGGGGCTGAAGGCTAAGTCCTAGTTCTTGTTCTACTATGAATTCTTGAAGTCTCGGTAGAGAAGAAGCAGAGTTTAAAAGGTGGCAGAGTGACCTCTTGTCACTGCTCTACCTCCAAGTCATCACTGTGTGACCTTGGACAAGCAACTTGACCTGACCAAAGCCCAGATTCATTCATTCATTTAAAAAATACTTATTAAATGACTACTGTGCTCTTATAATAATAGTTAACACCTCTTCTACGCTGGACACTATTAAAGACACTTTAGAGAAATTCTGCTGCCAGACTGCCTTTGGACTCAAGGCTGCAGCATCAACTCTTGCTGGAATTTCTACCCCTGCTGATTTTTGGACTTACCAACCCCCATAATCACAGTTCAATTCAATGCATAATCCAAAATCTGCTCACTGCTCTTCAAATAAAAATGAAGATTCTGGGGACTTCTGGTTTGAAATGGCAGCATAGAGACAAGCTGAATTCATTATCCCCAAAACAGAAAACCAAAATCAAAAATACAGTGCAAGATCTATATCAGCAACAACCCAGAACTCAAGTCAGTGAGCTCAAAGACCAGCTATTTGAAAATACATAATCAGAGGGGGGAAAAAAAGAAAAAAGAATAAAGATCTCCTAAAAGACATAGAAAACTACCTCCAAGACCAAATCTAAGAATTATTGGTTTTCAAGAGGAAACTGACCAAAAGCAAAGGGTAGAAAGTTTACTCAAAGAAATAAAAATAGAAAAATTTCCAAAACTTGAGAAAGATATAAATATTCATGTGTAGGAAGGTGAACCTACAAACAGATTAGAACACCAAACAGATTCAACCAAATTAAGACTAACCCAAGGCATATAATAATCAAAATCTTAAATATCCAGGACAAAGAGAAGATGCTAAAAGCAGTGAGGGATAAGCAAATAATATATAAAGGAACTTCAATTCATCTGGGAATAGGATTCTCAACAGAAACCATACAGGTCAGGGGGGAGTGAAACAACATTTTCAAAGTGCTCAAAAAAAGGTTTCCATTTGAATGACAGCAAAACTGTCATTCAAATATGAAGGAGAGATAAAGTCTTTCCCAGACAAACAAAAGCCAAGAGAATTCACCACCACCAGACTTGTGTCGTAAGAAATGATAAAGAGAGTTCTTCAATCTGAAAGAAAAAAAAAAAAACACTAATGTACAAAAGAAAACCTTTCAAGGGGTCGGGCGCAGTGGCTCACGCCTGTAATCCTAGCACTCTGGGAGGCCGAGGCAGGTGAATTGCTCGAGGTCAGGAGTTTAAAACCAGCCTGAGCAAGAGCGAGACCCCGTCTGTATTATAAATAGAAAGAAATTAATTTCCCAACTAATACATATAGAAAAAATTAGCTGGGCAGGGTGGTGCGTGCCTGTAGTCCCAGCTACTCGGGACGCTGAGGCAGCAGGATTGCTTGAGCCCAGGAATTTGAGGTTGATGTGAGCTAGGCTGACGCCACGGCACTCACTCTAGCCTGGGCAACAAAGTGAGACTCCGTCTCAGAAAAAGAAAAAGAAAACCTTTCAAGGTATAAAACCCACTAGTAAACTTAGGTCCATCCACAAACCCAGAGTACTATATTCCTGCATTTTTGGTGTGCAATCTATTCATAACTCTAGTATGAAGTCCAAAAGGCAAATCTATCAAAACAATAATAGCTACAGGAAACTTTTAAGAAATAGATAATATAAAATATATAAACTGAGTCAACTAAAAGTCAAAATACAGGGGGAAGGGGATGGAATTAAAGTATAGATTTTTTGTGAGTTTTTTTTTTTTTGCATTTGTCTCTATTCTTTTATTTGTGATCTAAATTGTCATAGTGTCAAAATAATTTGTTATATCTATAAGATGTTTCTGTAAGCTTCATGGTAACCATGGCACAAAAACCTATAATAGATTCACTAAAAATAAAAAGCATCAAATTAAAATATATGACCAGAGATAATTACTAGATCACAAAGGAAGACAGGAAGAAAGGAAAAGAGGAGTCTCAAAACAACCAGAAAACAAGCATCAAAATGGCAGTAGTAAGTCTTTACTTATCAATAATGACACTGAATGTAAATGATCTCAAGTCTCCAATTAAAAGGCATAGAGTGGTTGAATGTATAAAGAAACAGGACTCAACTATATGCTGCCTTCAAGAAACCCACTTCACTTATAAAGACACACAGACTAAAAGTAAAAGGATGGGAAAAGATATTTTATATAACTAGAAACTAAAAAAGAGCAAGGGAGCTATGTTCATATCAGATAAAATAGTATACAAATCAAAGACTTGTCAAAAAAAAAAAAGACAAGGAGGGTCACTATTGATAAAGAAATCAATTCAGCAAGAGGATATAACAATTATAAATATATATGCACTCAACATTAATAGATCAAAAGAAAGAGATAGACCGCAATAAAATAATAGTAGGGGACTTTAATACCCTACTCTCATATCACCCAGTCAGAAAATCAACAAAGAAACAACAGAGTTAAACTGGACACTAGATCTAATAGCTCCAACATGTACAGAACATTTCACCCAATTGCTGCAGAATACACATTCTTTTCATCAGCAGATAGAACTGTCTTCAGAATAGACCATATCTTAGGCCACAAAACAAGTCTGTCAAATTCAAAAAAATAGAAATCATATCAAGTATCTTTTCTGAGCACAATAGAATAAAACTATAAATCAGTAATGAGAGGAACCTCAAAAAATACACAAACACATGGAAATTAAATAACATGATCCTGAATGGCAAATGGATCAACAAAGAAATTAAGAAGGAAATTTAAAAATTTCTTGAAACAAATGAAAACGGAAATACAACATGCCAAATCTATGGGATATGACAAAACCAGTACTAAGATGGAAGTTTTGCAATAAATGCCTATATCAAAAAAGAAGAAAGACTTCAAATAAACCACCTAATGATGCACCTCAAGGAACTAGAAAAGCAAGAACAAACCAAAACCAAAATTAGTAAAAAGAAAGAAATAATAAAGATCACAACAGAAACGAATGACATTGAGACTAAGAAATCAATACAGGGCTGGGCGCAGTAGCTCACGCCTGTAATCCTAGCACTCTGGGAGGCCAAGGCCGGTGGATTGCTCGAGGTCAGGAGTTCGAAACCAGCCTGAGCAAGACCCCATCTCTACTAAAAATAGAAAGAAATTAATTGACCAACTAAAAATATATATACAAAAAATTAGCCAGGCATGGTGGCGCATGCCTGTAGTCCCAGCTACTCGGGACGCTGAGGCAGAAGGATCGCTTAAGCCCAGGAGCTTGAGGTTGCTGTGAGCTAGGCTGATGCCACGGCACTCACTCTAGCCTGGGCAACAAAGTGAGACTCTGTCTCAAAAAAAAAGAAAGAAATCAATACAGAAGATGAACAAAACAAAAAGTTGGTTTTCTGAAAAGATAAAATTGACAAACCTTTAGCTAGACTAAGGAAAAAAGGGAGAAAGAAAGAAGACCCAAATAAATAAAATCAGAAATGAAAAAGGAGACATAACAACTGAGACCTCAGAAATACAAAAAATCATAGGGACTATTATGAACAACTACATGCCAACAAATTGGAAAACCTGGAAGAAATAGATTAATTCCTGAGCACATATAACCTACTAAGATTGAACCGTGAATAAATAGAAAACCTCTATTTCTATAGAGGTTAATAATAAGTAATGAGATTAGAGTTGTAATAAAAATTCTCACATCAAAGAAAAGCCCAGGACTGGATAGATTCACTGCTGAATTCTACCAAACATTTAAAGAAGAATTAATATCAATCCTACTCAAACTCTTCAAAAAAAATTAAAAAGGAGGGAATACTTTCAAACTCATTCTACAAGACCAGGATTACCCTGTTACCAAAACCAGACAAGGACACAACAAAAAAAGAAAACTACAGGCCAATATCACTGATGAACATAAATGTAAAAGTCCTCAACAAAATACTAGGACACTGAATTCAACAACACACTAAAAAGATGAATCACCATGATCAAGTGGGATGCATTTCAGGGATACAAGTATGATTCAACATATGTAAATAAACATGATACATCACATTAATAGGATCAAGAAGAAAAACCGTATGATTATTCTAATAAATGCTAGAAAAGCATTTGATGAAATGCAACATCTCTTTATGACAAAACAGAAACACTCATCAAAATGGGTATAGAAGGAACATACCTCAAAATAATAAATACCGTATATGACAAACCCACAGCTAACACTGTACTGAATGGTGGTTACTGGAGGCCTGGAAGAGGAGTTGGAAGAGGGAATGAAGGCAAACAAAAGAAAAACAAATGAAGCTTCCACTGCCTCAACCCACAAAGCTAGGGTTTCACCCATGAGTTTTCATTAAGTTGAGTTTCACACACTTCATACATTATAAGGCAAAGTACATAGTTAGTTAAATCTTTATCCAAAGTAAACAGCCAACAAATGGGAAAATCTAATCATACCCTACTTCACCATTTCCTGTTAATGAGAAAATCACGTAAAAGATAGTCCCCCATTTGAAATGCTCTTCATGTTGAAAGCTAGCACATGACAGTTAACCAATTTGGTTTTTAAAAAGGAATAAAAAGCAGTTTGTATGTATTATTAATTCATTTAAACCTCAAAGCAACCTGATCAAGTCAGTACTCTTATTTACGCCATTTTACAGATGGGACCTTGCTCCTCCTATTGAGAAGTGAGCTCTCTGCTTTCGAGGATTTCTAGTCCCAGCTCTAAGAGAAGGATAACAAAAGGATTCCCTCCTCAGGTTATTGTGAGGCTTGCCTAAGACACTGCACCCAAGTTGCTAGTAGTACCTTGCATGTAGTAGTGTTCAACAGACTGAACTAGTATCAGATAATTAAAACCAAGACAACAATACTATTTTTATCTTGGACGGGGAGTTTTATGTGGATTAAAAGTGGCTGCAGTTTAAGATAGTGAATTATCAGGAAAATGTTACAGTCAGAAATCACATCGCCCCTGTGGGGTGCTGGCTGATGTTACACTGGCAAAGAAAGTGCTGTCCAGAGTGGGGCAGGGTGGGCGGATGGGGCACAAGGGCACAGGTGGTTCTGAGCTCTACAGGGTCTCTGCTCTTGCTTCAGAAGGAGGGCTTGAGGTCAGCACTCCACCTGTGTGGGCTAAGGTAGCCTTTTTCTTCTCCGCTGCTCTCCCTGAAGTGAGCCCCAACTTCCCTCAATGGGGGAGGCTTTGTTCTTGGCTTTGAAGAAGCAGCTGCGGGGAAAGCTAGGGAAGGAAGCTGCTTCTGGAAGGAAGGGCTGGGGTCCCTCCTCTCCCTGCCCAGGAGGCAGCTGAACACCAGAGCACCAACACCACCACGGAGCTGGGGACGCTCGCCCCCCACTCACCTCCGTCATGTCTCCAAAGGGAAGAAGTTCCAGGTCCCGATTCAGGGAACAGCAGTGGAGGACCTGGAGGTACCTGCAAAGGACAGGGAGCTGTGAGGGGCCGGTGGCCAGCCCGCTGGCCCCCACCCTTCCCAAGTGTTGAAGGGGAAAAAGTCTTGAATTCCATGCTAAGAAATTTGGACTTGACCTTGTGTTTAATAGTAAACTAGAGCCTTTCTAAAATTTCCTTCCCTCTTTCATTTCTTTTAGATTATTAATAATATGTGTTCTCAGTAAATATTAATATTTAGACAGAACAAAAAGATGCAGTGAAAAGCAAATATCCCTTCTCATGTTTGACCCTCAGTTGCTTTCCTCAGAAGCGGCCCCTATTACAGTTTCTTATGTATTTATTCAGAAACAATCTATTCATGTATGCATGTGTGCAGCACATATAGGTTTATTTGTTTAATGGCACTATAGCATTCCATTATGAGGCTGTACCATAAATTATTTAACCAGTGCCCTAGTGACGGACACCTGGGCTGTTTCTATTTTCCTGCTCCATGAGCAATGCAGTGTGAACGTTCTTATATATAAGGCTTTGTCTTCGTGGGTGAAAATACCTACACACGAAATACCTAGCAGTGGATTTGTTGTGTCAAAGGGTTGGTACACTTTTACTTTTGATGTTTAAAAACTGCTCTGATCTGGTGAGTTTGATCACTTTAAAAAAAAAAAAAAACTGCTCTATGAGTTGTATCAGCCTTACAGCACAGCAGTGGCAAGAGGAGAGCTATGTTTTAGGATGGTCGCCCTGGAGACAGTCCACAGGGCGGAACCGAGGGGGAGATTAGGGACAAGGATCCAAGGGCAGGAGCAGTGAGAACTGTTCAAACAAGAGATCCCAGACTAGAACTAGCAGCAGAGATGGAGAAGAGACAGATACAAGAGATATTCAGGAGGTAAACTTATCCAGGGTTGCTGACCAGTTAGACATGGGAGGTATCACAGGAGGGGTGTCAGGCTTGCTGGGGTGCACAGTCTGGGTGACGCCATTAAACTGAATTGTGTAGTTTGGGAAGAGAAGCCAGGAGAGTGGGGCTGGGTAAACAGGGTGCTCATGAGCTGGTATCAGACAGGACTGAGAGGCACCCCCAGGACGACCAGATGGAGATGGCCAGTGTTTGCACCCACATAGCTCCACCACCCTGTGTTGTTATGGGGCAGATTGCAAAATCAAGCAGCCAAAGGAGGTCAGCGTCCATATCCTATGATGGAAGCATAGCTGTAGTTTTCCTGGATCCTCCACTGAATAGGCTTCACTCTTGACATCCAGGAGCACATGTTAAGCAGGTTAACCCCAGGATTCTGGGGGAGGGGAGGAAGGGATATGGATGGGATATGGTAGGTCCACTAGGCCATGAATCCAAATTCATTTCCTATAGACTGCAGAAGCTCATCACTGTCATTTGTTTTCTTTGTGATTCAGGATTTAATTAACACAAATGAAGTTTTAATGTAACATTTTGGAGGTGGAGAGCGTATTGAGTATTTTGAACAAATATAACCTAATAGGTAAGTGTGAAGTTTCTGAAAGCAACTGGGTTCAAATTCTAGCTCTTTCAGATTGTACCAACTGTGTGACTTTGGGAAAATTATTTAGCTTCTTGGGGCCTCAGCTGACTCATTTAGAAAATGAATATGGTAATATTTCTTCCACAGTGAGGAGGAAATATGGCACATATATAAATAGGCACATGATTACTGGCTATTTTAAATTATAATAAAATAAATAAATAAATAAATAGGCACACGAAAGTGTTAGCAGTTGTCAAATTACTATTAGCAGCTGGAGGTCCCTCCCCAAATCTGCTGCATGCCCATGTTCCTCCCTGCCCTCCCTGAAGCTTACCGGGCCTTGTCATACTGGCCTCCCAGGAGGATGTTGTCCCGGACAGTACCCCTGATGATCCAGGCCTGCTGGGGGACATAGGCCAGGCTTCCGTGCACCCCAACCGAGCCCTCGAGCAAGTGCATCTGCAGCAGAACCAGGGCAGCCTCAGGACCAGGGCAGGCCAGGGACAGACCCTGCCTGGATCAGTGGCCACACTGCTCAGGGACCCTGGGGGCTCTCCTATGTAAGTGACTTTGAACGTGGCCTGCCAGGCCCACCGGCGAGTCTGAAGGCACAGACACGAGAACATGTGGAAGCGGCTGGAGATAAGCCAAGCCAGTTACTGCTTTGACTGAACCCAAGACACCCCATACCTTCCTTCCTCTTATTCCCCAGCCCCACCCGCTGGCAAGCAGTGCCTCCACGGTCTTCGTGGTGCAGACTGGAAGTTCCATCTCCGACCGTGCCTGCGCATTACGGAATTATTATTGTTAGGCATGACAATGTTATCGTGGTTAGATAGAAAAATTTCCTTATTTTCAGACTTTATGATGAAGTATTTACTGGGGAAAGTGTTATAACTTCTATAATTTAAAGTAATGCAAAATATATATCTACATAGCTAAGGCCGATAGGCAAATAGTATCCACTGTGGAATCTAGGTGGTGGGTATATGGGTCTTTACTACAGTGTTCTTCCTGCTTTTCTGTACAATAAGTTTAAAAACACATGCCGAAAAAAAACAGAGCCTGACCCCAGCCCCACCACCCCAGCACAGGCCCACATCTTCCTGGCCTCTTTCTCTGTTTTGTCCTATGCTTTTTACTTTTGATTTGGAGCCAGGCTTCGATTAATTAGAATAAAAATTTGACTTCACATCTCTTTGTTTCTCTTTACTGGAAGGAAAGTGACTGGTTCATTTGTAGGGGAAACTGACAAACCACGGGCTACATGGAAAGGTGGCCTTGCATGGAAGCTGCCGGGCAGCAGAGCTCTGACCTTGCGTGCATGTGGCTTTTGACGCCGGATCACCCCTCAGCTGCTGTGTGACTGTGGGCAAGTCGCCTCTCTGAACCTCCTTTACTCATCTATAAACGCGCCATGACTGCGCCTTCCTTGTAGTCTCGTTATCAAGGTTGGATGAAGAAACAGAAAGCTCTTAAAGCAGGACCTGGCATGTAAGTATTCAAATTACTTTTGCTATTTTTTTAAATGGAGTCTTCTTCTCCTCAGTTGCAAAGAAGCTGTGGCGAGGCCGCCCGTGTGGCGCGCAGAGAGAGGCGCCGGCCGCTGTGCCAGGAGAGGAGCGGGCCGGGAGGGCTGTCTGGGAGGAGGAGCCCAGGGAAGAGCCACAGAAAGGAAGGGAACTTCTGGTTCTCCCAGCACCGTGGGAAGGGGGACACTGTGCAAAGAAAGGGGGAGCAAGAGAGAGCAGCCCAGAGGCCGGGGCTGAGGGCGAAGGGCTGGTGAGAGCGGGGAGGGCCATGAACACAGGACAGGCCTGTGCGCGCTTCACGTTATCGGTGCGAGGTGTGCACAGCAAAGGATTCGGGTGGGTTTGGAGAAGGGATGTGTGAGCCACATGTCTTCATGAGCACGGATGAAGCAGACATCAAACACGTCTACAGCAGGTGCAGTCGGGGACCTCAAACCTCAAGGGTAAGGGCACCAGCAGACGCACAGATCCCGCTGCTGGGGTCTGAGTGAGATTGCCCCATCCCATCTGCCCCCCCCAGTTCGCTCTGCACACTGTCATGCCCCGCAACGGAGTGATTTTGGCTTCACACAATGATTCTTATCACCACATTAACTTGGACACGCCCTGTATCACCACAGAGCACAGGAGAGCGTGGGGCTCCAGGTGGTCTGAGATGCAGCTGGCCCACCACGAGTGTTGCCTCGGGTGGGAAGAAAGTGCCACCAAGGAGGGAGCATCTGTGCAGCTCCCTCCCCCACCGGTGCATGCGCCATCATTTTCAATTTATAAAAATCCCACTTGCTCAGACCCCTGTGAGGAAGAGAGCGGCAGGAAGCCTTGCTGGAGGGCTGCGAGCTGGGGTGCATCTGGACTGCCCGCGGGCAGGCACGCATGTGGCCACGAGTCACTTACCTCTCCCAGGATGGCCGACAACAGGCTGCTCTTGCCACTCCCCGTGTTGCCACAGATCCCTAACATCGTTCCCTGCAAAGCCAAGAAGGACAGACAGGTGTTAGGACAGCACAGCCTTCCCACTTCCCCAGGGTAGGGCGACTATTCGAACACACAAGGACAAACTGAAAACAAAATGACTGCATGCAATCCCAGACCCCTCGGCAAACACAGCTCGAGCGGCACTTTGAGCTGAGTCTATGGGGAAAAGGGTAACCTGAGAGGAAGGAAATTACGGGGAGTGGCAGAGAACTCCAGAACACAGATGGCAAGAAACCTGAATTCCAGATAGGCAACTGATCTACTCTGTAATCCTGGGAAAGTCACTTAGCCTCCCTGAACATCAGTTTTTTCATCTGTAAAAGGGGGATAAAGAAGCCAGCACCACAGAATTTATGCACACGTTCAACCCTTCATTCATCATTCATCTGTCAAATAGTGATTTGTATTTCTTCTATGTACCAAGTAATGAAGGAAAAACTCTCATTGAACTTATACTCTAGTGGACCCAGGGAAGACAAATTAATTAATTAATTAAATCAAGCAGTGATAAGTGAAATAAATAAAGTGAAATCGGCCACTGTGACAGAGAGTTGGGAGGTAAGGCGATTTTAGATGTGTTGGCCAAGAAAGCTTCTTTAGAGCAGATGTCATTGCAACTTAGCCCTGAACACCAAGAAAGAGCGAGACATAGGAAGATCTAGAGTAAGATGTTTCTGGACGTGGGAAGAGGAAGTGCAACAGTCCTGAGGCCAGACAAGGTTGAGAAGTCTGTGAGGCTGGTGAGGAGGAAGTGGATGGGAGAAGAGGTCAGAGGTACAGGTAGATTTGGAGAAAACCGGGTGCTGTCCTTGGGGTACTGGGAGGTCACTGAAGGGTTTAAGCAGGACAGTGACTTGAATTGGTTAATGTTTTAGAAAGGTCCTTCTGTCTACTGCATGGCAGTGGATTATAAGAGGGCAAAAGTGGAAACAGACTCTGGTAGGGAGGTTGTGAGAACAGCAGGATGGTGGCTGGGGCTAGAGCAGTGCGGGGGCTAGGGTGAAAGGTGGCTGGGTATAGGAGAGATGCTCATAGAGCTGGCAGACTGGTCTGCTGGGAGGGAAGGAAAGGAATCAAGTTTGACGTCCAGGTCCTTGACCACTGGAAGGACAATAGTGCGCCCTCCTGAGTTGACGTGCAAGTGACGTGCTCCACGCGCCCCCAGCTGCCTGCCTCCACCACTCTGCCTGTGGCAGGCCTCAAGCACACCTGCCCTGCCCCTGCTTGAGCATTCCACAGCGACCAAGGGGTCAGCCCTCCCTTCCCTATCACAGCCAGTCCCGAACCCCGAAGGGCATGAGGTCAGGTTAACCAGCCCAATCCCTGTCCAGCCCCCGACCCCAGGTCTCAAGTACACCATAGGCGGGCCTGGAGATTGGAGATGACCTAATGTAGTCCACCACAGCTAGCACCTGAGCACTTCACCAGCGGCCTGTGGTTGGGTTGACACAAACTGCCAGGAGCACCACAGCTGGCACCGACCTGCACACACTGAAGGCAGAGCCGCCCGGCTCTCCACGGGGCCGCAGCGCTCACTGCGGAGGAGAACGGGCGAGCCACAGAGCTGTCTGTTCTGGGCTAACGGCAGAGGTTCTGCCCCAGAACCATTTGGGCGGAGAGCTGTGGCACAGGTGTTACCCATGGCTCTCGGGGAGGGACACTGTAGCCTGGAGATGGATGACAGTAACTGACTGAAGTGAGAGTCACAAGCCCCAGGACAGGCTCACCATAGGGAAGCAGATCGCAATCCTGCCAGCCTAAGCTGCGGAGACGGTGCAGCACCCCCACCCCACGGAGACCCCAACGTGCTAACCAGGAGCCCCCGGCCACTCCTGTCAGTGCTGGAGCCTGCACGCACCACCGTAGTGCCTGCGGGCAAATGTGGCAGCCCAGCCCCAAGCAGCTGTGTGCACCCTTCTGGGGCTGAGCAGGGAACTCACCCTGATAGAGAGCCCTTCCCAGTAAACAAGAACAAACACATACCATCAGAAAGTAAATTCAAAAATAAGAAATGACAGCTTCTTCAGATGAGAAGGAACCAGTGTAAGAACGCTGGCAGTATAAGAAAGCAGAATGTCTCCTGACCCCCCAAGGATCCCACTAGTTCTCTGGCAATTCTTCCCCAGCTCATTCTACCCTACAGCTGCAGAGTATTCATTCTTTTCATCAGCACGTGGAACTTTTTCCAAGATAGACCATATATCCCAACCAAAATTGAAATTCTGAAATGACATATAAAGAATTAAAAACATGGATTATAAGGAAATTTCAATGAGATACAAGAAAAAGTTGAAATTCAATGCAGAGAAACCAGAAAAACAATTCAGGATATAAATGAAAAATTTACTACAGACATAGATTTAAAAAAAAAACCCAAACAGAACTTCTGATAATAAAAGCCTCATTGAAAGAATTACAAAATGCTGTTGAAAGGTCAGCAATACAATTGACCAAGTATGAAGAAAGAATTTCAGAACTTGAAGATAGATCTTTTGAATTAACCCAGTCAGACAAAAATAAAGAAAAAATAACGTTTAAAAAATGTACATAGCCTTTAAGAAATATGAGATTATGGCAAGTGATCAAGCCTATGAGTCATAGATATTCTTAAGGGAGAAGAGAAAAAAAAAAAGTGTGTGAAACATATTTGAAGTAATAATTGAGGAAAACTTCCCTGGTCTTACAAGAGTTTTAGAGATCAAGATACAAGAGGCTCAGCAAACACTACAGAGAGACATTGCATGAAGGCCTTCACCAAAGCATATAGTCATCAGACTATCTAAAGTCAATGTGAAGGAAAAATTTTAAAAGCAGCAAGACAAAAATATCTAATTACCTACAAAGGAAAGCCCATCAGACTGACAACACACTTCCCAGTGGGAACCTTATAAGTCAGGAGAGATTGGGGTCCTATTTTTAATGATTTCAAAGGAAAGAACTGTCGGCCATGAAGTTTGTATCCTGCTAAATAAAGCTTCATAAATGAAAGAGAAATAAGTCTTCCCCAGATAAGCAAATACCAAGGGGATTTGTCACCACTAGACTGGCCCTATAAAAAATGCTTAAGGGAATTCTTAACATGGAAACAAAAAGTTGATACTCATTATTATAAAGATAGATGCAACAATAAAAATCACAGGTCTTATAAAACAATTACACAATTGAGAATACAAAGCAATTAGGTAACAATTAACATTATAACAGAACAAAAACTCATGTATCTATATTAATTTTGAACATAAATGGACTAAATGCACCACTTTACAAAGGACTAAAAAAAAACAGAACTGAAACATATGCTCCTATAAGAGACTCACTTAACTAATAAAGACTTTTATAGACTCAAGGTGAAGATGTGGAAAAGATATTCAACTCAAATAGAAACCGAAAGTGAGCAAGAGTAGTTATACTTAAATCAGATAAAACAGACTTTAAATCAACAGCAATAAAAAAGACAAAGAAGGTTATAATATAATGATAAAGGGATCAATTCAACAAAAAGATTCAACAATCCTCAATATATATGCACTCAACTGGAGCACCGTGATTCATAAAACAAATATTACCAGACCTAAGAAAACACATAGGCCACAGCACACTAATAATGGGTGACTTCAAGTCCCCACTGACAGTACTAGAAAGATCACAGAGGCAGGAAATGAACAAAGAAACACTGGACTTAAACTGGACTCTAATACAAATGGACCTAACTGATATTTACAGAACATTCTACCTACAGCTACACAATATGCATTCTTTTCATCAGTGCATGGAGCATTTTCCAAGATAGACCATATATTAGGACAAAAGTTAGGTCTGAATATATTTAAAAAAATAAGAATCATGTCAAGTATCAAACCACAGTGGAATAAAACTAGAAATCAATTCTAAGAGAAACTCTCAGAAGTATACAAATACACAGAAATTAAACAACCTGCTCCTGAATGTTGTTTGGGTCAATGATGAAATCAAGTGGAAATTAAAATATTTCATGAAACAAATGAAAATTGTGACACAACATATCCAAACCTCGGGTATACAGAAAAAGCAGAGCTAAGAGGGAAGTTTATAGTGTTAAATGCCTACATCAGAAAGATTGAAAAATCAGAATTAACAACCTAATGTTGTACCTTGAGGAACTAGAAAAGCAAGAACAAACCAAACTCAAAGCTAGCAGAAGAAAACAAATAACAAAGATCACAGCAGAACTAAACAAAATTGAGACTAGAAAAAAAAATACAAAGGATTAACAAAATAAAACATTGGTTCTTTGAAAATATAAATGAAATTGATAGATCACTAGCTAGATTAACCAAGAAAAGAATAGAGAAGATTCTAATAAGCTCAATCAGAAATGAAAAGGAGAGATATTACAACTGAAACCACAGAAATATTAATATAAAAGACCACCCAAGACCACTGTGAACATCTCTTTGTAACTAGAAAACCTAGAGGAAATGTATAAATTCCTGGAAAAATACAACCTCCCAAGGTCAAATAAGGAAGAAATAGAATTCCTGACCAGACCAATAACAAGTAATAACATTAAATCCATAATACAAAATTTCTCAATGAAAAAAAAAAAAAAGCCCAAGACCAGACAGATTCACAGCTGAATTATATCATATATACAAAGCAGAACTGGTACCAACCCTACTGAAACTTTTCAAAAAGATCAAGAAGGAGGGAATTCTTCTTAATTCATTCTATGAAGCCAGTATCACCTTGATACCAAAGCCAGGAAAGGATGCAATGACAACAAAAAAAAGAAAACAACAGACCAATATCCCTGAAGAACATAGATCCAAAAATCTTCAACAAAATACTAGCAAACCAAATCCAACAGCACATGAAAAAGATAATATACCACAAACAAGTGGATTTTATCCTAGGCATGCAAAGATGGGATATGCAACATATCAACATACTCAAGTCAATAAAAATAAAGCAGAATTAAAAACAAAAAACATATAATCATCTCAATAGAAGCAGAAAATGCATTCCATAAAATCCAGCTTCCCTTCATGATAAAAACCCTCAATAAGCTAGTCCTAGAAGGAACATATCTCAAAATTATAAAAGCCATACATGACAAACCCACAGCCAACATCACATTGAATGGGGAAAAGTTAATAACATTCCCTCTAAAAACTGGAACAAGACAAGGGTGTCCACTGTCACTACTCCTATTCAACATAGTACTGGAAGTCCTGGCCAGAGGAATCAGGCAAGACAAAGGGCATCCAAATTGAAAAAAGAAAGTCTAATTACCTCTGTTTGCTGATGATATGATCTTTTACCTAGAAAACTTTAAGGATACCTCCAAAAGACTCCTAGAGTTGATAAATGAATTCAGTAAAGTCCCAGGTTACAAAATCAATGCACACAAATCAGTAGCATTTCTATATACCAATAACAAGCAAGCAGAGAATCAAACAAGAACTCAATCCCATTTGCAATAGCTATAAAAACAAATAAGCAAACAAACAAACAAAAAACCTAGGAATATATTTAACCAAGAGGGTGAAAGAATAACTACAAAACACTAATGAAAGAAATTGTATATGACACAAACAAATGGAAAAACATCCCATGTTCATGGATCAGAAGAATCAATATTGTTAAAATGACAATACTGCCCAAAGCAATCTACAGAATCAATGTGATTCCTATCAAAACACCAATGTCATTTTTCACAGAAATAGAAAAAACAATCCTAAAATTCATATGGAACCAAAAAAAGAGCCAGAGTAACCAAAATAATCCTAAGCAAATAGAACAAAACTGGAGGAATCACAAAACTTTATTTCAAATTATACTACAAGGCCACAATAACCAAAACAGCAGTGTACTGGCATAAAAATAGATACATAGATCAATGGAACAGAATAGAGAACCCCAAAATAAAGCCATGTACCTACAACCAACTGATCTTCAACAAAGCAGACAAAACATACACTGGGAAAAGGACACCCTATTCAATAAATGGTGCTGGGGCAATTGGATAGTCATATGCAGAAAAATGAAACTAGATTCCTAACTGTCACCATATACAATAATTAACTCAAGATGGATTAAAGACTTAAATGTAAGACCTCAAGCCACAGAAATTCTAGAATAAAACCTAGGAAAAATTCTTCTGGACATTGGCCAAGGTAAATAATTTATGACTAAGACTTCAAAAGGAAATTCAAACAACTCAGCAAGAAAAAAAACAAAATAACAAATAATCCCAATAAAAAGTGGGGAAATAACAGGAACAGATATTTTTCAAAAGAAGATATACAAATGGCCAACAAACATATGAAGAAATATTTAACATCACCATTCATCAGAGAAATGCAAATTAAAACCACAATGAGATACTATTTTAATCCAGTTAGAATGGCCATTATTAAAAAGTCAAAAAACAATAGCTGTTGGCACAGATGTCATGAAAAGGGAACTGTTATACACTATTGGTAAGAATGTAAATTGGTATAATTTCTATGGAAAACAGTATAGAGACTTTTCAAAGAACCAAAAGTAGATCTACCATTCGATCCTGCAATCCCATTACTGGTTATCTACCCAAAGGAAAAGAATTCATATCAAAAAGATACCTGCACTCATACGTTTATCTCAGTACAATTCATGACAGCAAAGATATGGAATCAACCCAAGTGTCCACCAACTGATGAGTGAATAAAGAAAATAGAGTGTGTATACACACACACACACACACACACACACACACACACACAACATGGAATACTACTCAGTCATAAAAAAGAATGGAATGATGTCATTATCCTGGGTGAAGTGACTCAGGAATGGGAAATCAAACACTGCCTGTTCTCACTTATGAGTAGGAGCTAAGCTATGGGTACACATGGTCTCACGGAGTGGATTAATGGAATTAGAAACCCCAAAGTGGGGAGGGAGGAAGGAGGTGAGGGATGAAAAGTTACACCAATGTATACATTTCAGGTGATGGGTACATTAAAAGCCCAGACTTCAGCACTATACAACATATCCATGTAACAGAACTCCACTTGTACCCCCTAAATCTGTTGAAATAAAAATATATTTATACAAATAGATAATAGAGAAGAGAAGAACAGAGGGAGAACAGAAGAGGGCAGGAAGAGCCCTTGTAAACATTAGGCAGAGAAGGAGCCAGATATAAAGGAAGTTTACAGAATATACACAGGACAGTGCTTGGCATGTAGCAGGAATGTCATTAATGCTAGTTTAGTCTCCCTCTCCGTCTTCTTTCTGTGCCCTTGGTCCTTCTAAGGACCAGTACATAGTACTCTCAAATTATTTTGGTCTTGCCTATTCCAAAGAAAATTTAGAGGATCAATTAATTTATACTAAAATGTGAAAGACTTCTTGTATTTTCCCTCCATGAAAACTTTGCATTTTAAAGGGCGATCTTGAAGACGGCAGTTTTTAACCAAGGAAATGGTGGGGCACCTGGCCAAGCTTCTGTCTTTAGGCCCTGAGAGTCTAGCAGCCAGCCTGCCTGCCTAGCCTGGACAAGGCTACCTTTGACACCGCCAGGTTGATCTTGTGCAATGCTGGGCCCAGGCTGTGCTCTTTGTCCTCTGGCCTGAGGGCATCTAGAGGCGGCTGAGCCCTGGCCGTCCCCTCAGAAGCGTGCCTGTTCTCCAGCTCCAATGCCCCATTGACAATCCCAGGGCAGGTCTGTCGCCATGACAAGGTGGCATCCTCCAAAACCAGAGCTTTACTAGGGTCTTGCAATTCCTGGACATAGGAAACAGGATTCTCCTGGAGGAAAAATTTCTGTAGAGACAAAAAGAAAGGGAAGGGAAAGGAATTCAGTTCTTTAGTTCAGTAGCAATGTGCACCCAATTTTCTGGTTGGCCAGTTGGTATGGTTTAATGAGGCAAGTTTCTGCTGGTAAAAATTCTAGATCAGTGTTTTTCAAATTTCAGACCACCAGGCCATGCCTCCGTAGCTACAGACCACCTGCACGTCAGCTGGCTGAGGCCTGACCTACCTCAGCACATCTCAAGTGATAACAGCTGTTGACTCCTACCACTGATGTTTTTCTGATTAAATTTTATTTACAGCTATTGAAAATAAAAAGGTCTGCCTGTGTCTCACACAGGGGAATTGTCATGTGGGTATTGCATCTCAAAACATGATCACTGGCAGGTCACGTCTCCACGTCTCCAGCTCCCTGTCTATGAAACACGGAGGTAGAACTGCATGAATTCTAGCAAAAACGGTGGGTGGGGCCGGGCGCAGTGGCTCACGCCTGTAATCCTAGCTCTCTGGGAGGCCGAGGCGGGCGGATTGCTCAAGGTCAGGAGTTCAAAACCAGCCTGAGCAAGAGACCCCGTCTCTACTATAAATAGAAAGAAATTAATTGGCCAACTGATATATATATATAAAAAATTAGCCGGGCATGGTGGCGCATGCCTGTAGTCCCAGCTACCCCGGAGGCTGAGGCAGAAGGATCACTCGAGCCCAGGAGTTTGAGGTTGCTGTGAGCTAGGCTGACGCCACGGCACTCACTCTAGCCTAGGCAACAAAGCGAGACTCTGTCTCAAAAAAAAAAACAAAAAAAAAAAAACGGTGGGTGGGGAACATGGTCCCACTGCAGTCAAGTTGTGTTCACGTGTCCCCACCTGGAGAAATGCTTAGAAAGAGATCGATAAGGAAACTTATTGACATTTTGGACATCTTTCAGGACCTGATTGTAGCTTCCTCATCTCTGCCCACTCCACGGTGAAAACAGGCACAGAAGGAGAGAAGGGGGAGCCCAGCACGCCACAGAGAGGGAAGGCGGCGGCAGCAGCCCTGGCAGCTGCTGAGAAGATAAGGAAGCTCCCAGGGCTGTTGGTAAAGAACCGTCTTTGTGCTTCTCAGACAAGCCAAGTTCATTCCAGCCTCAGGGCTTTTGCACTGGCAGCTCCTTCTGCCCAGTCATCATCGCTCAGCTCAAAGTCGCTCCCGCACAGGGGCCTTCCCTGGCCAGCCTGCCCACGGCAGCCCAGCCCCCCCATACATTCTCTAGAGCCTCACACTGTTCTATTGGTGTCGTAGCTCTTCACATGATGTGATATAGTCCTCTTTGATCATTAATTTACTTGTTAATTGTCTGTTTCCACTACCAGATCAGAACTTCCTGAGAGAAGGGCCCTTGCTGGTCACACTCAATGGAGTAGTCTCCCTACCTGGCATGTGCCAGGTGCTCAATAAATATTTTCTGAATAAATGAGTAATGAATGCTTTAAGTTGAGGACTGCATGGATTAAAATGGAATGACTATAAAATGGCTTTTAAAAATTGGTTTAGATTAGGGTTTTCATATTCAGATGTCTGTTGGGGCAAGACCAGCTGTATAAATAAGTGAAGTAGACCATTTCTAAGATGATAAATGGCAGTAAAATGCAGCCCCAGGGCTGGAGGCATGATGGGCATGGTGGGGTCTGCAGCAACCTGTGTCTAAATGCCGCATCTAAACAGGGCAGCCACCACCTCTGCTCCAGCCGCTTGTGGTCATGGGAGAATGTGGTCCAGTGTCACCAGATCTTCTGATTATTCAAGAGAATTCAGACATCTCCATTTTCATATAAAATATCCAGGTTTTTTAAATGCTAGAAACAGATGTGATTTTTTTAAAAACCAAAACTATGTGGGTAATCCTACATAAACCTGGATACAGTCTGCAGAGCACCTACCTGCAACCTAGCTTGGATACACTATCCTAAGGTCTCCTTGGGCACAGTGATGCAGCATGATTCCTCTGTTGTCCAGCCCCACCCAGCCGAGGCACAGGAGGGCATGGGGCTCCCTAGTCCCTCTCTCTACCTGGGTTTGTCTCTGCCTTGGACAAGGGATGCTGTCAGCAGGAACATCACGAGGGCTGAAGGCAAATGAGCACCCAACAGAAGGCCATGCTGTCAGTCCTCTGACCACTCACCTTGAACCTCTCCACCGCAGACTTGGAATTCGTGAGGCCTTTGATTGCAAAGGGCCCATAGAACACAGCCAGCCGAAGGGGATTCAAGGTTGCCACTGCAGTGAAGGCCTGGATGAGGAAGCAGAGGAGGCAGTGTGGGTTGCCGCCCTTCCTGCTTCCTCCATTCCCTGGGGGCCTCTATCCCAGATAGAGTGCCTCAAGCCACAGAGCCCCCTTGCAGCTTCCAACAAGCAGCTCCTTCATTTGAGGAGGCTAAGCCAGTGTAGGAGGAGACTGGGAGGAGTTGGCGGGAGAGCACTTTCAGGCTTCTCAAGGTGATTTTTCTGGTGTATGCGTGAGACAAGCAGAGGTGACAGCTGTCTGGAGCACACACAGGCCCTTGGCTACAGATGCTCAAATGCTCTCAAATGCTCCCCTTCTTGCTTGGGGTGCACTCTGCTGGCCTCCTCAGCGGGATCACCACCTCCCCACGAGCGGCACTCTCTTATTTTGCTCACAGAGTCAGGATTCCTAACCCTGGCAGGCAGCTGCTGCTTCTCAGAGCCAGGGTCAGGCCACAGAGGAAAAGACAGAAGGAGCTACGCCTTTTTATTTAAGGTGCGGTTCCAGGGCCCTTATTTGGAAATCAGAGAGACTCTTCAATTCGAGATTCTCAACCTCAAGGCGTATATCAGAACTGTCACACACCACCCTCCCCCATCCCCAGATAATTCTGCTGTCCTCCCTCCATAGCTGCTACCCAAGATGCCACTTTCCCAGCTGGGTTGAGATGAAAGAAACCTAGAACACCCAAGGAAGGCTGGAAAAATCAAAAGCAATTTACAGGATCTTTTGCAAAGCCTCCTAGCCTCTTGTGGGGCGTGGGCTAGGAAAGAGCACATAAGAAAACGGGAGAAAACGAAGCAGCAAAGACTCACTATTGAAGCTGTGAGTTTCCTCCCTAGGGACACGTGGATGAGGATCATGAGTGCTGAGGCCACAGTCGGGGCGATGAACAAGGTGGCCGTGGTCAGGCTCTGGAGCAACCCGCTCCTCTCCAGTAGTTTCTTTTCCTTCCTCCTCAGGTCTATAGGGTAAAAAAGAGATACACCAAAGATAAATTCAAGAACACCCTCCAGAGCACAGCACAATCCCCAAAGCAAGAAAGAAATCCTCAAATGGCGAGAGGCTCGGCCCCGCAGGCTACCACCAGGCTCCGAGCAGAAAGGAGGACTTCTTATACCTTCAATTATCTTTGCAAATGGTTTCTCCCAGGTGTACATTTTAATCAGCTTGATGCAAGTGAGAAGCTCACTGGTCACACGGATGCGCTGGTCGCTGACCTCAGACCCGTGGTGCTGCGTCTTCAGGGCCGCTTTGGTCATGAGCACCTGCAGTCGGGACGCAGCAAGTTTGCTGGTGTGCAAGGGCTTCTTTGGACAGGGTGGGAGAGTTTGGCCTGGCACAGCAGGACAACTAGGAGTATTTCCAAAGGTAAACTCCAGGTGTGGACTGAGTACCAGGTTTCATTCTGTGCTGAGAGAATCCACTGTGACTCTTGGTTCCAGGCCCCTGCTGAGGGTTTTCCAAGGGAAGCTCTCAGGCTATCATGCCTTGGGGTGTCGGGGGCCTTTCTCTCCTAAGTTCCAAGCCAGGCTGTGGCTAACCAAACTGAAACTAAACAGAAAAGGCTCCTCTGCCTTCTGAAACCCTAAACCCCCCTAACAATTACAATCACCTTTTGATCATGGTGACTGTGGTCAGGGAGGAAAACATTTACTTTCCATAATTCAGAGAAGACATGATCCAAGAGTCACTTCTGTATTGCCCAATTTTAACTCACCTGTTTCTTTGGCAGCAAATTTGCTTCCCTTTCCCCATTACATTGTGCTCAGCCAAATGGCAAATACCACGTGCATTATTACATCAGCACGTTCCGGGTAGAAGAAATGGAACAGAAATCTTACAGAGATTATTTACTGAGGAAAATCTGTGAAGCAGATAATCTCCCATAGAAACCTACAAAGTAGACCTTGCACATAATACTCAGCTCTTATTTATTAACCAGACACTGTGGCCAGAGAACAGTTTGAGGCAGGAACTGAGCTGACTTAGCCACAGTGGAAGGAGCCGTCTGTGACAGGCAGCATTCCAACTCAGGTATCTCAGGTCGCAGGGCCCTGGGCATTCTGGGGAACGCTCAGCATCAGGCGGGTGGCAAAGACAGACATTACCTCCAGCGGGAAGATCAGGAGGTAGCAGAGAGTGGCGACGAGCGCAGTGGGCCCGAGAACGAGGCAGGCGGAAACAGTGCAGACGATCAGGGACGCCGCGGCGAGCAGCACCAGGGGGCCGTAGTACACCCCCTCAAACAGGTAGTTGAGGTCGCTGGTGAAGAAGTTGATGGCCTGTAAGACAGCAAGCCTGTGGGCACAGGTGTCACCTCCCAGGTGCCCAGAAGGTTCCCCAGCAGGAAGCCTTGGCAGGCAGGGTGGGAGAGGAGAGGGACACCCCAGGTTCACTATTTTCTTTTGACTGGCTGTATGGCCCTCAAGGAGCTTCTATTCTGAGCTTCAGCTCCTCCTTCTGCAAAGCTGGAATAATTACATGGTTTTGTGAGAATTTCAGTGAGACATAAAGTGTCTGCCCACATAAAATGTATTCAATAAAAAGTATTTTACTAACACTGTTACTACTGCTACTAATATCCAGATTCCAAAGAATTGCTTCTGTTCCACTATTCTGTTCTGTTCTATTCTATTTGACTACTACTAATAATATTAACTGAATTTTCTAGGCAGGATCTGAATTATCTTCTTTCTCCTTCTTTTTTGCCATAGATTCTTCTGCCTACTTTCCTTTCCCAGCATACACTGCCTAGTTCAAAGCTAGATAAAAACTAGCATTCCAAATCAAGACATCTTTAAGGCCATCATTAATATATTTTATAATTACCTATCTGAATCCCTTGAGAAGGGATTGTCTTTTAACTGTAATCTAATCTCCTTCCAGTTCCCAGGATGTATCCTAGCCTGAGCTTTTAAAACTTTTTAAGTATACTAGGGTGCATAAGTTGGTATAGCCACTTTGGAGGGCAATTTAAAAGTATATTTTTAAATTAAATATTGCACAAACCCTATGACGTGACAAATTCATTTCTCTGTTGAGAAACAGTCCCACGTGTTGGAGGAAACACATACACGGATGTTCGTTGCAACACTGCTTATGCAAGCCAAAGCCTGGAAGCATCCTGAATATTCATTGGTGGGGAAAGTGAGGAAGCCCACCCCAAAACTATTAGGTAATATTGAATCCTGGAGCTAAACTGCCAGAACTCATGTTCCAGAGAACTGACCAGCTAAGGGCAGTAACAACTGCCAGGCAGGTGAAAGTATTCCTCTTTTGCATATAAGAAAATGCAAACTCAGAGAGACCACCTACAATGGCTTTCCCCAGAAGATTTCCTGAAGCCATCAAGTCCTCCCATGCCCTCACCCCCAGGTTGGCAAGGTGGATATGCTTTCCAATGTGCTTCTACTTGGGATTTCTATCTTTTTGTTCAGGGCTATATCCCCAGGGCTTAGAAGAGAATCTGGCCCAGAATAGGCCTCAGTTTAACTATTTGTGGCGTAAATGAATAAGCCTCTCTAACCCTCTGCATGTAAATGGCATCTCCCTGGGTTATGGTTGACCTGTTTTCAAGGCCCAGAGGCCCCTGTTGATGGTTATCAACACTGAACCTAAGAAGTCTTTTCTTTGTCTTTCTTCCTCCTTCCCTAATCCCCTTTGTCCCTCTCTTGGTGCCCAGGCAGTGACGTCTGGAGGAGGGGTGGGGAAGTGCAGTCTGGGATAGGCAGTTCCAGGCACTCACCTCTCCCGAGGTGATGTGTGTTAGAGACTTAAATTGTATGAGCTTCTCAAAGGCAAAGGCGGAAATGGCCCCACGAAACCTTATGCCCGTGCGCTGGTTGATGATCCAACTCGAGCAAAGACTCACAGACTTCAGACACTCAGAGAGAAAAAGGGCAAGGCACAGTCCCACTCCACGGGTGACGTCCCCTGACTGCTCTTCGGAGTAGTCTAGGATCTTTGGTATAATCAGCGCCTGAAAGGAGACAGGAGTTCGGATCATTCGGATCAGGATTGATACCTGTTGTCTGAAAGAAGGGTTGGGAGGTCTGGGTTAGTGTTGGGGAATTGCTGAAGGACCGAAATCCACTCCAGCACAGTCCTGACCTCGAGAAGGTCAAGGTCCACTTGGAGGAGACTTGGGAGTTCAGCTGACCCAGGTCTGAAACCCAGCTCTGCCACCTAGGAGCAGGCCCTGGTGGGACACACGAGGCACACAAACTGGGAAACGGAGAGTTAACACGCTGGCTCTTTACAACCATGGGGGCAGAATTTAGGAAGCCCAACAAGGACCAGTGGAACACCAAGGAGCTAGTGACAGTAGGGGACTGTTACCACCCTAGACCCAAGGGGCGAGGGGAGGGTGAGGTTCGTGGGACCTCAAAGGGAGGTCACGCAGAGAGGGCCCCCCAACCAGAGCTCGGCAGCCAAGCTCCAGTGACAAGGAGAGAGGCAGCCTGGGCAGCAAGTGTCCTGACTCATTCTTCTCTCCCTCCTCCAGTCCTCTATTGGAATCTCCCACTGGTCAAACCCAACCACTCAGGGAGACCCCAGTCACATGACCCACACTGGGTCGCTGCGCAGGGTGGAATGTGGTGAGAGTGATTTGGAGGGACGGATAGAGAATGCCCAGCACCCAGCTGTCACCAAACCCAGTCACCTCTGTGGTGTCATCAACTTCTATTTCTTCCTGACCTATGTCCATATCCCCTTAGCTGGTAAAAGTGCCTCAGCTTTCTTTTGGGGAGACACTCACCTCCCCCACTGCATGCAGTCTGGGCCAGATTGGCCATCAAAGTACCCCACCCTTCTCTGGACAACCGGAGAGCATGTGACTCCAGCTGGCCAATCAGCTCCTCTCTGAAATCAGAATCTTGGGCTTAGGAACAGGAGTTGAGGAAAAGAGACCACTCATCCCCACTGTGGCACATGGAGGACACCGCCAGCTCCTGCCGCCTGCTGTCCCGGAGCTGCTCGGCTGTGCCCCAAAGGCGCTAACATGGACTGAGCCAGGCCACGCTCTGAGTGCTTTATGTACTTATCTCATTTCACGTCGCTGTATGAGGCAGGTAGGGTGATGTTCTCCATTTTACACAGGAGGGTTTCCATAATGTCTACCCCTGAGGGTGTCATGGGGTTTCATGAGGAAATCAAGGCACAGAAAGGGTGATTAAATTGACCAAAGTCACCCAGTAATTAAGTGGCAGGGTCACGATGTGAACCCAAGCAGTGACTCCAGAGCTCACACACCTTGCTATGATGCTTTACTGTCTTGAAAAGGTCTTCGTTTTCTGGACACTAGCTGAGAGACAAAGACATCCCCAACTCCTGACCTGGGCTGGAACATGCCCCCAGTTCAATTTCTAAATCTCTAGAGCCTGGAGTCCCCCAAACCTCACCACGTCTGCCACTTACTGGTCCCAGTACACTCATGATCGACAAGCAACAGCTCCCAAGCAGATTGAAAATAATCCTTGTTCTCTGGAACCTCAGCATCACTCGAAACACTGACGCCTTTTCAATCCCACGCCTTGAGACTTCTTCTTCCCAAAGGCGGCGAAGCCTTGAAAACAGGAAAATTGAACCAAGTGAAATCTCTTCACATGTGTCACCCAAAAGTCCTAGTTCTTGCCAGCCAGGAGTTTTGTTGCAGAAATTTGAAAGCATAAAAAAATAGAACAAGATAGCAATCCCCCATATTCTAGAATTAATAACATTTTGACATTTTTGCTTCATCTTTCCTCCCTCTACTTTTTTCTTCCTGAAAGATTTAAAGCAAATCTCAGACATCATATCATCTCCTCTGCAAATGCTTCAGTATGCATCTTTTCCAGAAAAAGCCTTCTTTTTTAAAGCATAGCAACAATGACACCACAGTAATAATCATTACTTAATGGCATTTAATTCCCAGTCTGCAAATTTCTCTAATTACTAAATAATAGGTTTTTACAGTTAGTGGGTCTGAATCAAGATCCAAAGTCAACATTTAAAAGACAAATCTGACAGGCCTCCTGAGTTTCATTTGAATCTGTAAGAGTTTGCCTTCATCTGCATTTCTGTGTCATTGACTTGTTGAAGAAACTGAGTTATTTATCCTGTAGAATTTCCCACATTCTGGATTGGACTGATTGCATCTCTGTGGTATCATCTAACATAATCTTCTATCTTCCATATTTCCTAATAGGTAGTTAGACCTACAGGCTTAATGAAATTCAGAATTCAAGCAATTTAGCAAACTAGTTAATGGGTGATGTAGTATATTCGCTGCGGCCTCACATCAGAAGCCACGCAAGGTCTGGCATCTACTATTAGCAACGCCAAGGTAGATCAGTGTGCCAGGTGTGTCACCCTGACCTGCTCATTACCAAGTCCCTGGTCATTAATGGCTATTACCTAAGCCACGTCCACTAGTGCTAGAAACATGATTTTTCTAATTCTATCATTACTTCTGTATTTAGTGGCTTGAATTGGTCTACAAAAAATAAATCCCTCACTATTTTATTGCTCTGAAATACAGTTAGCCTGGGAAATAGCCCAGGACCTTAGTAATGTTACTCTTCTTTGTGAATTAAGATTCATAAAACTCAGAACTTTGACTTCCAAAAAGTGCCTTCAATTGTTTCAAAGTCCCCAAAAGGCTGCCCCAGTGTTGGATCACCCAATTAAAAGTATGTCCTTATTTTGAAATTCCAAGCTAATCATACCTAGGATGTTTGTGTTACACCAGTAAAATAGAAACAAAAACTTTTTTTAAAAATGTGGTATGCAATATAGTATTTCAAAAGAGCATCAGAGAAGTCATCATGGAAAAATCAAGGATGTATTGACTTTCTTATACTTTTTAATTTTGAATTATATTTGAGACAGGGGCGGGGGACTGGACAATGGTCGCTTGGTGCTTGTGGCTTCCAGAAGTCTTACTCTGGCCTCGGATGCTTCCTGTGCATCCACAGTCCAGGTTGCTCGCTGCAGTCACCGTGTGGCATCTGCCCTTTGACCTTCTGGCTCCTGCTCCCATATATCCAGCACCTCTGTCTGGAAGGCGACCTCCAGTGCTCGTGGGGAGAACATCAAGGACTCTGTCCAAGGGCTCCAGGTGTCCCTGAAGCTTCAGCTCCATACAGAGCAACAGCATGGTGGGCAGAAGAGCCTCCCTTGCCGTGCCACTTTTCATCACCAGGACCTGACAGCACCACTGCTTGTGCACGATCTCAGTTCCATCAGCTTCTGGCTCTCACCCCTGTCCAGAATCTCACCACGTTTCTAATGGCAAACAGTTCTAGCCTTTTCTACACCTTACTACTCTAGCCTTGTACACCCATGCCCAACCTAAAACGTAAAGGGAAGAAACATCTTAAGAATCTTTTTGTCATATATTTCTTTGCCTGCAATCACAACTCCAGGCTCTTTCTTTCTTCCTGAGTTATAAAACAACTACTCGCATCCCATGCCCACCAATGGTTGAACCAGATAACTTGGAGGGTCTGGATCCTAGCTCAGCAAAGCAAAAATATCCCTATGACACCTATATGTTAGAGGATTTTCTTGCTTATGGATAACATTACTCAGGCCAAATATGGGTCTACCTCTCCTCATTCCAGCTCTATCCCCACACATACACAATCCATAGAGACAACAAGCTCTAGAGTTGGTTCTACCTTGACTAAAAGAATCCAAGTTTTTCATAGGCTGCCAATAACTCTCCTAGCAACTCTATCAATTTCTGGTTGTGATCACCAGACTCAGAATCAAAAGACTTGGTTTCAATTTGTATCTCCTCCATTCATTAGCTGTGTTTATTTCATAATCCTATTGTGATGGTAAAAGGAGATAATAGATGGTGAAATGCTCTGCAATTGTAGAACAAATATGAAGGATTGTGGTGGTAATTATAATAAAGATAATGGTGATACTGTTGTTGGTAGTGCTGGTGATGGTGGTGGTGATGGTGATAGTGCTGGTGGTGGTGGTGGTGATAGTGCTGGTGGTGGTGGTGGT